CTTTGTGGCTATTATGAATAAAGACGCTTTGCACATTTGTGTACAGGTCTTTATGGGGACATATATTTTCATTTCTCTCTGATAAATAATTAGAAATTGTAGGCCAGGTTGTGTAGTAAGTACACATTAACTTTTTTAAAAAAGGGACTTCCCTGGCAGTTCAGTGGTTAAGACTACATGCTTCCAATTCAAGGAGCATGGGTTCAACCCCTGGTCAGGGAACTAAGATCCCACATGTGCTGTGACATGGCCAAAAAACAAAAAAAAAAAGGAAATGGGCTTCACTGGTGGCTCAGTGGTAAAGAAAACACCTGTCAATACAGGAGACATGGGTTTGATTCCTGATCTGAAAAGAAGCTACACACCAAGGAGTAACTAAGCCTGTGTACCACAACTATTAAACCTGTGCTCTAGAGCTGGGGAGCCACAACTAGTGTAGCCCAAGTGCCCTAGAGCCTGTGCTCCGCAACAAGAGAAGTCACTGCAATGAGAAGCCTGAATACTGCGTCTAGAGTAGCTCCTGATGAGTGCAACTGGAGAAAAGTCCACACAGCAATGAAGACCTAGCCCAGCCAAATAGATAATTTTTAAAAAGGAAAAACAGAACAACTAGCAAACTTTTCCAAAGTGGTTGTACCATCTTGCATTTGCACCAGCAATGTATGAGGATTCCAGCTGCTCCACATGTTCACCACTGGTATTATAAATCTTTTTAATACTGGTCATTTTGTGGTTGTGTAATAGTTATGTCATTGTGGTTTTAATTTGCCTTTCCCTGATGACTAATGATTGTTGTTTAGTTGCACAGTCATGTCCAACTCTTTGTGGACCCCATGGATGGAGGTATGTAGCCTGCCAGGCTCCTCTGTCCACAGGATTTCCCAGGTAAGAATACTGGAGTGAGTTGTCATTTCCTTCTCCAGGGGATCTTCCTGACCCAGGGATCTCCTGCCAATCTTCCTGCATTGGCAGGTAGATTCTTTAGTGCATGAGCCACCAGGGAATCCCAGTGACTAATGATAGCATCTTTTTGTGGCTTATTTGTCATTTCTATATCTTTTTTGGTGGAGTATCTGTTCAAATTTTTTGCATACTTTTTATTTGGTGTCTATCTTATTATTGAATTGTAGGTGTTATTCATATAAAGACTTATTTTTAAACTTTTGACCTTGATAGCATATGTTTTGGAGTTTATTTTCAATGTATAGGTGAAAGTAATGAAAAGCTCTTAGCTTAGTACTTAATTGGAATGTAAATAGTATTTTGCATATGTAAGTAATTAAATAACAGATACAGTAAAATTTAAAGTATTTTTTTGTGTGACATTTCTTTTGCCTAAGATGAATAAGCTCATTTCTCCTAATCTGTTCTAGTGACTGCTGAGTTTTTTGTTTGCTGCTTTTTTTTTTTTAATCTTTGAAGTGATAGTTGTTAATGTTCGAGTGTTATGAGAACCCATCTTATGGTTGTGTTTCAGGTGTTTATTTTAATCATACCTATCTGTTCCAAACAGTATGTCTCATCTTCCTCATATACTTTGTGGAGACTTGCCAACTGCCAAATAAACTTTTGGAGATACCAAAAACCCACTAAAAAGCCAAGCAAAATAAATATTGGCTCATGATCACATGAGATTCAAATGTCACTTTAACTCTAAAAGATGGAAGGGTGGCTTATTTTATGTTGTGATTGGACAAAACCCAATGATATGTTCATGTATATGTGTGTACTACTCTGGCCAAATAAAGCACTTGAGTAAAATTAGAAATAGTGCCATTAATTATTAGACTATTCTGGTTGTGCTTATTATCATCTCTTTTGACAGACTATAGGAAATCACATTTCAGCTATAATTCCTTTTTTGTGTGTGTAGAATTTAATTAATTAATTAATTAATTTTTGGCTGTGCTGTGTCTTAGTTGTTGCCTGGGCTGCTCTCTAGCTGTGATACGCAGGCTTCTCCTTGCTGTGGTTTCTGTTATTGTGGATCACAGGCTCTATAGCAAGTGTGGACTCAGTAGCTGCAGCTACCAGGCTCTAGAGCACAGGCTCAATAGTTGTGGCGCTTGGGCTTAGCATGTGGGATCTTCCTGGATCAGGGATCGAACCTGTGTCTCCTGCATTGGTAGGCAGATTCTTTACCACTGAACCACCAGGGAAGCCCTGTAACTTCCTTTTTTAATTTTCTCAATAAAAATATTGATGTTTTCCTTTGGCTGTCTCCTCTAAGCAATCTACACACACATACATACTAGCAGCTGTGGATTCTTTTCCATCACTTGGTCTCCATTTTTACCTTACTTTTGTCTGCTTGTGTGTTTTTGTTTGTTTTTTAATCCAGCTGTGAGGCTTTCAGGATCTTAGTTCTGAGACCAGAATTGAACCCCAGACCCTTGGCAGTCAAAATGCAGGGTTTTAACCACTGGAGTGCAAGGGAACTCCTGTTCTCCATTTTAAATGGATGGAGCTACCTGCCTTAAGCTTACTGTTTCAAAAAGGGAAGTGAGTTCCAAAAGCAATGGGAGAGGGATTGCAGTTCAGAATAAATTTGGGGGTCATTTGGGTCTCGAAAAGGGTAACCTAAGGTTTCTTAGGGAGGCAGTTTTATACTAGATTTGAACCATTTTTTCATTTCCTGGAGCAAATTATTATTAAGCTTGTTCAGGGCAGAAATTAGATGGGCAGCTACTTAATACTACATATGAGAGGGGTGTATGTTATTAAATAGTTCTTTAATTCTAAGAAAGAGTCCCTCTTTTGGCCCCTATTTCATAGAGGAATGAAACATACTTAAAAGATATAAGAGAAAGAGAGATGCTATAATTTATAGGAAATAAATTCAGAATTGCTTAAGTTTTTTTTAATACTCCAACACCTTAGCTTCTGGGATTCCAGTTCTGAGATTATGGTATTGTTTCATTCCCTTCCCCCAGAGAGATAATATTTAACTCACAGAGAATTGCTTTTAAGAGCTTGAATCAGTTGATTACAAGTGATTAACAGTGAACACAGTGAGTCTGTCTGTTTCTTTGCTATTCTGTCTTCCCTTTTTTTAGAAAAATTATTTATTTTCTATTTTTGACTGTGCTGGGTGTTCATTATTGTGCAAGGGCTTTCTCTAGCTGTGGTGCATGGGCTTCTTACTGTAGTGGCTTCTCTTTTTTTGGGGCACAGGTTCAGTAGTTGTGGCACATGGGCTTAGTTGTGACACGTCATGTGGAATATTCTGGGCCAGGGCCTGCATTGTCAGGCAGGTTCTTAACCACTGTACCACCAGGGAAGTCCTGTCCTTCCTTGATGTATCCTCTGAGTTTAACATAGCATTACACCCATCCATTTGGTTCTTCAAATGAAACATTCCCATATAGTCCTCTTAAAGTCCAGTTGAATGAGGTATTATAGTCATGATCTGATCAATGGCATATGTGTGACCATGAGTTGAATTTTGCTGTTTTCTTGTCTGTGCTATTATTTCTTACGGGTGAAAACAGGTAATTTTCACATACTTCTAAACTTCAGTTTCTGTTTCAAATTTTGGTTCTTCATAGCTGCTTCTAGGGGCTTCCCTGGTATCTCAGCTGGTGAAGAATATGCCTGCAATGCAGAAGACCCCAGTTCAATTCCTGGGTTGACAAGATCTTCTGAAGAAGGATAGGCTACCCACTCCAGTATTCTTGGGATTCCCTGGTAGCTCAGCTGGTAAAGAATCCGCCTGCAGTGCGGGAGACCTGGGTTCAATCCCTGGGTTGGGAAGGTCCCCTGGAGAAGGGAACAACTACCCACTCCAGGATTCTAGTATTCTGGCCTGGAGGATTCCATGGACTGTGTAGTCATGGGGTCGCAAAGAGTTGGACACGACTCAGCAACTTTCATTTATAGCTCATTGTAATGTTTTTAGAAATTTAGTATGTTAGGCGAAATAACAGAATTAGTTCTTCAGGAAACCTAAGTAGCTGATACAGAATAAAAATCTTGTAGATTTTATTGAATTTTTACATATATTTAGTATTTGTTCTTTCTCTAAAGTAATTGATGGCCCTGGTGGCTGAGCCTAGAAATTGGTGCAGAAAAGCAGAAAAATGCACTTGGTAATTGTGAGAATATATTTGTATGTATGCCTGGAAAGATAGAATTTAATAAAATAAAGCTCCCTTCTCAAATGGCATCAAGTATTACTAGGATCTGATTTACATGCAAACACTGTGGTAGCAGAGACTTCAAAGTCTTCATAGTTTTGGGGGGAACATCCTTCTGAGGATCTGACTATGCTCCACTGACTTCAAATGACTGTCTGTTCTCTTTTGAACAGCTCAACATTTATTTGGCCTTTGTGTCTTGCCATTCCTCTGAAGGACAGAAGCCACTTGTAAAACCCTACCCTTCGCCTTGCATTCTATGAGGTAGGTAGAGCATGGTCCAATAAGTACTTCTTTAAAACTGAGTTTTAATTCAAATGCCTCAAAAAAAAAAAAAACCCAGTGATAGGCAGTGTTATGTATTTCCATGTGTCATGCTGCTGACTTGGAGATGAGATTATGTTGTTGTCATATTTGACTTTAATTGTTAAACATCTGGTAGATTTAGGTAATCTGGCAGGTATAGTTTTATTGTGTGGGTGAATCTTTCCATGAAGCTCTGTGATATTAACTTGGTTCCTGCTAAACATTTCTCTTAATCAAAGTAGTAAACAGGCTTCCAAATTTGCAAGTAATCCAGGTTTCTAAATATCTGTGAAAGAGAGAGCTAAATTAAAAGCATGTTACCACAGAGGACAGTGGCTAAGCTTTTAGGTAATCAGACCAGGCATGCTGGTATGAAATCTTTTCTTAATTGGAACTTTCTGTTGAACTCATAGATTTGAGTTCTTTAAGCTTGTTTTTGTGAATAAATGTAATGGGAATGAAAGCGTAATTGACCATGTTTATTTGAATTTGAGGAATGCGTCATTTCCAGGAAGTAAAATGCCATTTGTCATCTCTGTCTCTCTTAGTTACAGCAAAATGGATATACCAAATCCCCCAACTTCCAAATGTATCACTTACTGGAAGAGGAAAGTTAAGTCTGAATACATGCGACTTCGGCAGCTTAAACGGCTTCAGGCGAATATGGGTGCAAAGGTAAAAATACTTCCCAAGTGAAAGGCTATAAACTGATTCAATATGGAGTGGTTGGACTTTTTATTTTTAATCTTTTAACTCTTCTCTTAAAATCCTAACAAGTTTTTCTTTGGCTCTTCTAGGCTCTCTATGTAGCAAATTTTGCAAAAGTTCAAGAAAAAACCCAGATCCTCAATGAAGAATGGAAGAAACTTCGTGTCCAACCTGTCCAGTTAATGAAGCCTGTGAGCGGGCATCCTTTTCTCAAAAAGGTACTTCCAGTGTCTAAGCTCGGCCTTTCTCTTTTCCTTAGATTTAAGGATTCTTTTTTTTTTTCTTTTCTGTATTTGTGGCTTATTGGGCTTCCCTGGTGGCTCAGATGGTAAAGAGCCCACCTGCAGTGCAGGAGAACTGGGTTCAATCCCTAGGTTGGGAAGATCCCCTGGAGGCAGGAATAGCAGCCCACTACAGTATTCTTTCCTGGGAAAGCCCATGGACAGGGGAGCCTGGTGGCCTGCAGTCCATGGGGTCACACTTATTATTATTAGAAAATAAAGACAATGGATGCAATTACTGTAGTCATCTTTGAATAACTGGGATGGTGAACCTGTAACTTAAAGATTAACTGTGGAACTTCCTGGTGGTCCAGCCATTAAAACTCCACACTTCCAATGCAGGGGGCACAAGTTTAGTCCCTGCTCAGGGAACTAAGATCCTGCATATCCCGGGCTGCAGCCTGAGAATAAATAAATAAATACATCAAAAGGACATCAAACTCATTACCAAATTGCATTATTGAAAAAAAGAATAACCTTTTTGCCTTTTGTTCTTCTCAGCTAATGAGTTTAATCATGAGTTTTACCTAGAAAAATAAGACATCTGCTGTCTACTTTCCTGGGCTCTGTATACAAGCTTCAAAGCAACCCCTTTTGTGGCTTTTTTAGTACCTCAGCTATTTTGAAGTTGGGAAAGGAATGCTGTGGGTAATTGACCAATATATATGGTCAATGGGATATATTTTTTGTAAACTAAAAAAAAATCACTCTATTAGTTTCTTATAGAGATGATGTCTCTAAAATATAAAAAACAGATAATTTATGAAGAGCACTTTTCTTTCCCAAAGCAGAAGGTGTCTATAATCTCTACACTACTTTGCTTCCCCCTGTACTGTCCCCGTCAGCTCAGCAGCTAAGTTGAAGTCCACTGTCTAAAGTTTAGGTCTTCAGGAAAACTTCCTTGTCTTCCTTCTCATCTCCAAGGACACTCAGAGGCCCTTTGCTGTCAGGTACGGCCCAAGGAGATCAACACTTTTAGATGGAGATTAACAACGATTGAATATGCGAGGCCAAGGGCAATTAGAGACAAGAGACAGTTCCTGCTTCCCACAGGTTTACAACTGAGGGATTCCTTTTAGGAGCTTGATGTTACAAAACCCTCAACTTATCCACTTGTAAGAATTAGAAGGCTACAGGGGTAATTTTGGAAGGAAACTCCGATTCTCTCTTGGGTTGTGGACCTGCCTTCCCTCTCCATGTCATTGCTTGTGTTTCAGTGTACCATAGAGAGCATTTTCCCAGGATTTGCAAGCCAGCACATGTTAATGAGGTCTCTGAACACAGTTGCCTTGGTTCCCATCATGTACTCGTGGTCCCCTCTCCAGCAGAACTTCATGGTATGTATTGAAAGTACTATGGTGATTGTTTAAATGGAATGATTTTTTTTTTTTAACATTGAAATGCTGTCATTCCTCTCAGGGTAAAGATTGTCAGAATATACTTAACAAAGCTTGGGCATGCAGGGCAGAATGTTTTTGTGATTTACTAACCTTGAAAAAACACATATTGCAAGTTGTTCTCATTTGTTGGCTTTTGCATTCTCAGAATTGATGCTGTTTCTTTTTTGAATGAAAGAGACTGGGCAAGAGTCCAGCCTTCCTTTACTACCTTGGTCCAATTTTATAACATTGAATGCAGTTAAATGTATTCTAAATCAGACACTTCAGGCGTTAGCAGGTTGACAGCTCCCTGCTGATGGAGCAATCCTTTCTTAATCCCCTAAAGGCAAGATGCTGTGAAAGCAACTGAGATAGCAGAGGCACACGGGGATCACCAATCCTTTCATCTGGGACTTTATGCTGACTCCTGCCAGGATTATTTGTGGTTCTGATAATCAGGCCGCTAAATACTGCCATCGCTTATTGTGTCTGGTGACAGATAGCAGTTCTGTTGACTGGAATAGGATATAGGTTTACAGAAGGAAATCATCTCTTAGAAGAAAACTTCAGAGTAACTCTACTTGATAGCTATAGAACTGAAAGTGACTGTTTTCTGCTGAACCACAAAACAAAATCCATTCATATTGTTTATTGCCAGAAGATATACATAGCTTGTTCTGCAGTTGACTTTAGGTTCCCACTGAGGGTGAGTGATATCAGTTGTAATAAGAATTTTTATTATGTTTATGGGAGGTCAGTCTTAGTCTATACAAATATTTTATGGGGTTGCCAGTTTCTGTTTTAACTACTCCAATTATGTTGCAGTTTATACTCTTGAAAGTCTTCCTTTTCATCTGTCTTTCTACTGATGAGAAGGGTTTGAATTGAAGACCTTTTAGACCATTGTTTATGTCATATTTGTACCAATTTCACAATGTTCAGTGGATTAAATGACATAATAGATGGACTCACTATGAGAAAGAAATATGTTGTCAGATTTTAGGTGTTGGTGGAAATATTGTTACCATCCAGCTTAACATTTGGTAGTTAATATCCTCAGGTAGTAAAACTGACTTTTTTTCTTCCAAGAGTAGCATGACTCCCTTCCATTTGAGGCTTTGTTGTCAAAATGACCAGTCTTTAAAATGTAGTGAACTTTGTAACCAGAGGCATTTTAGGAGCTTTAAAGCAGCAAAAATGGTTCAATATAGGTTCCATTATACAGGAAAGAGGAAAAAAAAAAAAAACAGGACAGAGGAGATGCACAGCAGATTCATGAAATGAATTACATTTGTTTTGATTTCAGGTGGAAGATGAGACAGTTTTGTGCAATATCCCCTACATGGGAGATGAGGTGAAAGAGGAAGATGAGACTTTCATTGAGGAGCTGATCAATAACTATGATGGCAAAGTCCACGGTGAAGAAGGTAGTAGCGCTGGTCTCCTAAGGAGAGGACTTTATTAGGATGGTGCCTCTTGTTTCATGTATCATTAGCTTGCTTTTATCTGCTGCCTTGTGGTGTATACACTGAAGACTATTTCCATGTCACCACATGGCTGGGAGTAAACATTTTATATTACAAATACCCCAGTTAAATTTTAAGAGGATTTGGAGGAATTCCCTGGTGGTCCAGTGGTTAGGAGTCCACACTGTCATCTCCAGGAACCCAGGGTTCTGTCCCTGGTTAGGAAACTAAGATCCCACAAGCCATGCAGCATAGCCAAAAAAAAAGAGTTGAGACATAAAAGGATTGTATAGTAATATAATGGTTATATAGTAATATGATTTTCTCTCCAGTGGCTGGAAAGAAAATTTAGTGAATAAATAAGTTTGATCTTAGAAGTCTACCATAAATCTATCCAAGGCTATCTTGTTCTTTGTTTCCCTTTCTGTGAGACTGGCAATGAGCATAACCTCTCTTCTTAGATCCAAATACTCCCTGGATCTGCTAGAAGTTGGCAGTAATGTTCTGACTTTCCTAAAAGTGTTACCAAACCAAACTTGGGTCTGCTCACTTGAGTGCAGTAAAGCCAATCTACTGACACCAGGTTGAGGTGGAGGAAAGTACGATCTTTATTGTAGGGCGCCAAGCAAGGCGAAGGGGCAGCTCAAGCTCAAAGGACCAGAGCTACCCAATGGCTTTCAGGGAAAGAATTTTAAAGGCAGTGTGAGGGAGAGAACTGCAGGGTGTATGATCAGTTGTGCCCAGTTCTTGGATTGGCTGGCATCTGGGTGAAGTTTCAAGCCTCATCCACCTTCTGGTTTCAACCAGTCTAGGGTCTTCATGCTTGCAGTCAGCAGTTTTCGTCTGGTGGGACATCTACTTCTTATAAAACAACTTAGGAATGTGTGTCAGGCGTTTATCTTTCTTTTGGGGGAACTGGGAGGACAGTGATTCTGCTGTGTTGCAGATTTATAGTCTAAATTGTTACCAGTTTTGTGGCCCAACAGCTATTCTTTGTTTCTATGTCTTCACATTTCTTAATCATTACCTCTGAGCCAACCTTTTTGTGACTTAGGGAAGACCCGGGAGACTAAAGCAAAGACCTTTTACTTCAGAGGAGAAGGGCAAAGGAATTTGTGTCTGATTTAAAAAAGCAAGTCATTTGTATTTAGTTGTAGGTTTAGAAAAAGTTGTTAGTGTGTAAGAAGGGGAAAGATAGGGAAAAACTCTTCATAGATTTGCAAGCCAGTGGCCTCAACCTGCTCTTTTGATGATTGTGGATGCTGTTGTGATGCCTTTGAAATGCATTGTTTATACACAGTGCCCTCTAGTGTTTTGAGACTTTATCCTAAATTGTATTAATAGTATAACCTCATATAGTATGATTTTTTTTAAGTATGTTGTCTGTTGAGTCAAGTTACTACTAAAAAAAAAAGAAGTTACTACTAACCCATCAATAGCAAAACCAAGTACATTTTCATTTCATCATTCTTTCTCTGTCCTATTTGTATTGTTGGCCCACTTTTGTGATATTTTGGACCATAAATACAGGTTGATCTATTACTGAGGAAGTGAAGACCCCGGTAAAAATAAAGTCCATAACTGGATTTCCCACTCTAGCCAGCTTAACGGTTGCAATTTTAAGAGCCAATCAAATTATTGTAATTCCCTGGTTTTCCACATAAAAATGTACATATATTATCTGAGTCTCAGGAGTGAATATAGGAAAACCTTCCGAGGAGGACTAATGGAGTATGAAATGACCACTGCCCATCCATCTAATTCTTTTATTTCAGAGATGATTCCTGGCTCTGTCCTGATCAGTGATGCTGTTTTCCTGGAGTTGGTAGATGCTCTGAATCAATACTCGGATGAAGATGAAGAAGGACACAACGACACCTCAGATGGAAAGCAAGATGACAGCAAAGAGGATCTGCCAGTAACAAGAAAGAGAAAACGACATGCTATTGAAGGTACAGAGCGCGACTTCCTTATTCCACCTGGAGTGACAGGGAAAGGGAAGAAGGCAAAAGAGAGGGTTGTTTCTTATTAAAGGCTGTTGGCACTTCTCACTGGTCCACTTAAAAGGAGAATGTGTTTACTGACTGATGGTTTAAGATATCTGTGATTTAGCTGAATAAAAAAGTAGAACTTTAGATAATAATCATTGTTCATTTCTAATTGTAAAAAATAGTGTGTTTGAAAAATATGACAAGTTATAAAGAATAAAATAAAATTACCCTATTATCTTGCTACCTAGAAGTAGTTTCTTTTAGTATTAATATTTCCTTCTAGACTTAAAAAATGTATATATAAAAATATACACATGTACACCTGAAATGTATTATATGTATTTTATCTCAGTTTTTAAAAAGTACCTAAGTAAATCAACATATATATATGGTAGGTGAAGTTAGTATCCTACCACATATGTGTGTATACACATAGATAATTTTATACCCCTTATTATTTAATCTTACATCATGAGCATTTTCCTATGTTAGACAATATTTAATTAATTTCATATTTAATTATACTTTGTTATTTAGTTATACCATATGTCCAGACACAAAGTGTCTTCTCTTCGTATAACAAATTTACAGTATCCATCTTTTTCTTTGGCATCAACGTTATGGTAGGTACTTCTATGCTCGGGTTTCTCCATAAAAACTTCTATTTTCACTTCCAGATTCTGTCTTACACTGTAGATTTTTTTTTTTTTGCCACACCGTGAGGCTTGTGGGATCTTAGCTCCCCAGTCAGGGATTGAATCCACGCCCTTGGCAGTGAAAGCTCAGAGTCTTAACCACTGGGCCAGCAGGGAATCCCCCTGGACTGTGAATTTTGTTGTTAACATGTAGATGACTCTGATCTCCTTATCTACTAGTCGGCAGTTAGATAGGTCCAGGTAGCGCTGACCTTCTTTCTGTATTCTGACATAGTCAATGGTTGCATTAAAAAGCAGCTCTAATCAAAATGCCATGACAAAAGTACAAGATGATTAACTAGCTTTGTGTGCTTCTGTATGGCACTCAGAAGCTTTTTATCATTTCCAATCCAGGCAGCAAAAAGAGTTCGAAGAAACAATTCCCAAACGACATGATCTTCAGTGCGATCGCCTCCATGTTCCCTGAGAACGGTGTCCCAGACGACATGAAGGAAAGGTAGGACGGCTGCCTCCCACCGCAGGCCATGTAGACCACTTAGGCAAAACTTGCATACATGCTTGTTTTGGGTTATAAAAATTCTCATTTTTGGTAAGTGCATTATGATTTGCCTACATTTCTCTAAATGCCCATTCCCATGTTAAAGGTCATGGTTTGCTGGCTTTTGCGTAAATCTGGGCAGAGAAGTTTGAAGATTTTGCCACTTTACTGGAGTGTTACTCCAGCACCATACTTAGAAAATCTTTCCTTTCCCTTAATTCTCATACACACACAGAGCCCAGCATCATTACAATGGTGAACCTACCTGGTTATACATAAAGACCTATTAAAAATAACACCCATCATCCCTTTTCTCCCTTGGCAGACCATTTCTAGATAACTGTCAGTATTCAGTCTGCATTTTCTTTTTTTTTTTAATTAAAAATTTTTTATTGGAGTATATTTGATTTACAATGTGTTAGTTTTAGCAAAGTGGATCAGTTATACATATACATCTGTTGTTTAGTCACTATGTTGTGTCCGACTCTATGTGATCCCCATGGACTGTTGCTCACCAGGTTCCTCTGTCCATGGAATTCCCCAGGCAGGAATACTGGAGTGGGGTGCCATTTCATTCTCCAGAGGATCTTCCCAACCCAGGCATCAAACCCATGAAACCCGTGACTCCTGCATTGGCAGTCCGGTTCTTTTATCACTGAGCCACCAGGGAAGCCCACATATACATGTATTCAATCTTTTTTGTTTTTGTTTAGATTCTGTTCCCGTGTAGGCTGTTATAGAGTGCTGAGTAGAGTTCCCCATGTCAGTCTGAGTTTTCTCAGTGGAGACATTCCCTCGGAAGGCATTCTTACCTCTCTTTTCCGAACCAGGTACCGAGAGCTCACAGAGATGTCAGACCCCAATGCGCTCCCCCCACAGTGCACACCCAACATCGACGGCCCCAACGCCAAGTCTGTGCAGCGGGAGCAGTCTCTGCACTCCTTCCACACACTGTTCTGCCGGCGCTGCTTCAAATATGACTGCTTCCTTCACCGTGAGTGGGCTGCTCTGAAATGCTCTCCTGTTTTCCATCCCCAGCCACCATTTCATTCTCTTTATTTTTAGTTTCTCCAATGGAATTCCTGGCTTCTGATCCGATGATGGTTTTACAAAGGGCCAGTTCTCTTTTCTCTTGTGTAGTTATAGTGTGGTGTGCTTCACACAGGGAGGACAGATTAACCAGCAACACAGTTGTCGCCGAGTTTCCTCTATCTTTGGAAGAATTGTGTTGATGTCAGAAATGATTCAGCTTGATTCACCTTGATGATAGCTGTTTTTATCTAAATTCTCCTCCAGTGGCTCCCTAATTCAATTTGTTCCTCCTCCTCCTGTCAAGCAGATGAGCCATTGCAAACAGGACAGTTTTGTGTTTTCCAGCTTTCCATGCCACCCCTAATGTGTATAAACGCAAGAACAAAGAAATCAAGATTGAGCCAGAACCGTGTGGCACAGACTGCTTCCTTCTGCTGGTACGTTTTTAAATTCTTCTGCCATCATTGAAATTGGTAGAAATCTGAGCAGGAAATAGTCCTTGGGCTTTCTGCCCCAGAGAACACAAACCACGTGAGTTGGTATATAGCACCCTGAGGATCACAGAGTGTAGATGAGACATGACTTCTGCTCGTAAGGAGCGCCCTTGATTTTGCAGCAGTAGCACTGTGAAGTTAGTTTCATGGAGTGAGGTGTGAAGAACATTGAAGGCTTTCTTGCTCTAAACATCATCTACTCAGATTTCAGAGTCTGAAACTGCTTTGTTTTACTTGGAGCTGTATGTGTGTGCATGAGACACTATCTTTGCTGTCTCCCTTTAACTGCATATAAATGTAGGAGGAACAACACATGAAGGTGCTCATATCTTATGTGAGTTAATCAGCCAGATGGACCCTTCCTGGCAGACAGACCTCATGTAGCAGCATGAATTCTGCATTTATGTGGGGAGGCAGTCCCCTGAGAGCTAGAAGGGAATAGGTTCAGTTGGACTTGTCAAAGACATAGTTCTGCTTTCTACACAATAGGGTGGGGCTTCCCTGGTAGCTCAGCTGCTAAAGAATCCACTTGTAATGCAGAAGACCCCGGGTTGATTCCTGGTTTGGGTAGATCCGCTGAAAAAGGGATAGGCTATCTACCCACTCCAGTATTCTTGGCTTCCGTGGTGGCTCAGCTGGCAAAGAGTCCCCCTGCAATGTGAGAGATCTAGGTTCGATCCCTGAGTTGGGAAGATCCCCTGGAGAAGGGAACAGCTACCCACTGCAGTATTCTGGCTAGAGAATTCCATGAACTGTAGAGTCCATGGGATCCCAAAGAGTCGAACACAACTGAGCAACCTTCACTTTCACACGATAGGGTGAGCTTAGGTAAAGAATAAAATACCTTGATACAATTTCTGCTACCAATTAAAATGAGATTATACAGCCAGGTGCTTCTGGGACTATCTTTAGGGGGATAATAGAAGGAAATATGATACAGAGTGCCACTGGGTAAAAATCTGGAAAATGTGCCACATGGTAATAGCAAAAAAATAAATAGGGCTTTCCTGGTGGTCCCGTGATTAAGACTCTGAGTTTCCAATGCAGGGGACCCAGATTTGATCCCTGGTCAGGGAACTAGATCACATATACTGCAACTAAGAGTTCATACGCTGCAACTAAAATGTGGCCAGCCCGGCGGCGGCGGCGGCGGCGGCGGCGGCCGAGGGTGTCCCCGCGACCCACCGCGAGGAGCCAGTTCGAGATGATGTCGCCGTGGAGACTGCTGAGGAAGCAAAGGAGCCTGCTGAGGCTGACATAAATGAGCTCTGCCGGGACATGTTCTCCAAAATGACAACTTACCTGACTGGGGAACTGACGGCCACCAGTGAAGACTATAAGCTGCTGGAAAATATGAATAAACTAACCAGCCTGAAGTATCTTGAAATGAAAGATATTGCTATAAACATTAGTAGAAACTTAAAGGACTTAAACCAGAAGTATGCTGGACTGCAGCCTTATCTGGATCAGATCAATGTAATTGAGGAGCAAGTAGCAGCTCTTGAACAGGCAGCCTACAAGTTGGATGCATATTCAAAAAAACTGGAAGGCAAGTACAAGAAGCTGGAGAAGCGATGAAAAACTACTGTTTTACTGTGGGGACAAAGTCTTTTTTAATGTGGGAAGAATGTTTTATAGGACCTGAATCTTGAGGTTGATGAATTGTCAGAACTCCTCAAAAGGCAACTATGCTGGTCGTCCCAGAAACATAGCAACATTGGAGTAAACTGGAGAACTGTGGCTGTCCCTGGAAGAACTTCTTTTGAGGCAGAATCCTCAGAAACTCAACAACTCCTTACCTTTTACTTGAATGCTTCATCATCCATTCAGGACAGAGAGTTTCTCAAAGTTCAGATAAACCTGGGCCTGCCAGTAGAATCAAATGAAAGGAGCTCTTTACCCTGGTAGCAGTTGATTACTATATTATTTTCTTAAATGGTTGGTTTTTGAGTTACTGTGTAAAAGGTTGTTTTTTTCTATCAAGGATGTAGTGTATTGCTAACAAGATTCTAAATTAAAAAGGGAAAAGAAAACAAAACAACAAAAAAGATGTGGCCAGCCGAAACAAATAAATATAAATATTTAAAACGCATAGAACTGTATGCCCAGAAAATTCCATTTAAGCAAACAAAAATAAATAGACTTTATCTGATTTATTTTTTCCATAATATATATTAATTCCTTCCTATGTATCAAAGTACTGTGCTAACCCTTAACATATATGATCTTATTTTCATGCTTGTAACAACATCCTGAGGTGGATAAAGTATAGGTTATAAAAGTTACATATTTTGCCTAAAGTTTGTTACTATGTCAGTGGTGTGGCAGTGATGAAATTGAAGCTCTGGTCTAACTCCACAGTTCATGCTTTTTATATAACTCAAAAGGGCATTGCCAGGGCTTCCCTGGTGGTTCGGTGGTAAAGAATCTGCCTGCCAGTGCAGGAGACACAGATTCAATCTGTGATCCAGGAAGATCCCACATGCCAAGGAGCAACTCAGCCCATGCTCTGCTACTCTTGAGCCTTGCTCTGGAGCCTGGGAGCCGGAACTACTGAGCCCACATGCTGCAGCTGCCTAAGCCCTCGTGCCGCTGATCCTGTCATCCGCAGCATGAGAAGCCTCTGTGATGAGAGGCCTGTGCACAACTGGAGAGTAGCCCCCGCTCTAGTCATCCTGAAATCCTGTATATGTCACATTGTAGCAAAGACACGTAGTATCAGATTCAGTTACAATAAAAACTTTTCTTGGAATTTCCTTAAGGGCCTACAGTATATTCTGAATATCCTTAATAATGGTAAACCTTCATCCTTTACTTGTAGAATTAGTTTCCAGAAACAGCTCAAAATCTTTAGAAACTAAGTCTGGCGAGAAGATAGATGATCCAGCTAAGTAATTATCTGGTCTATAAAAAAAAGCATAGCTGTAAAGTAATAAAGTAATAAAATATTCATCCTAGTTTAAAATACTGACTTGGAGGGAATTTCCTAAATTAACTGGTAATATTATACAAATTCAGGGATTATACATTTTCTTACTGAAACAGAGACAAGTGTGGTAAAACATAAAGAACAGTGAGGCCTAGGGATGAAGGGCCCTGATTCTTGTACCTGCTCTGGAATAATTAGCTGCATGCTCTCAGCAGATCCCTCATTTTCTGAACCTCATTTTCTCATCTACAGGAGAATGTATTCTCAAATTCTGATCAGTTTGTGAGCAAATGAGTATAAGATATGACTCACTGGACAGTCAAAGATGCATAGAAGCATCTATGCATAATATATAAAGATTATATTATAAGGCAGCTCTTTGTCAAGACATATAAGTGTGTAAGCTTTAAGATGTTTGTTAAGATATCACATGGTCATATATGGTACAGAGGGAAAAAAAAAAGTGTCAAGTTGCAAGTCAGCACAGATACTGAAGATGGTTTGTGATGATGGGACCAATATGGTGGCCTATTTCTGCTTCCTAACTGTAACATGGCCTCTGCAGGAAGGAGCAAAGGAGTACGCCATGCTGCACAACCCTCGCTCCAAGTGCTCCGGGCGTCGCCGGCGAAGGCACCATGTGGTCAATGCTTCCTGCTCCAACACTTCAGCCTCTGCTGTGGCTGAGACCAAAGAAGGGGACAGTGACAGGGACACTGGCAATGACTGGGCCTCCAGTTCTTCAGGTACAGTGAGCAGAAAATGACCTCTTCTTGCTACGCAAGGTAAACCCAGGATCATGTCATAACAGTTAACGTTATTACCTTTTTAAATTGTTCATTCTTTCCCTAGGTTCACCTGTAAGCAGTAGAGACAGGGAATGTTTTTGTTCCTAACTCTTCTGCCTTTTGGTGTAGATTGAAGAGCTGAGTTTGTGGCAAACCACTGAGGCCAGCTGCATTCCACCTTCTTGTGTTTCTCTCATTCCTTCCTCTCTTAGAGGCGAACTCTCGCTGTCAGACGCCCACGAAACAGAAGGCAAGTCCGGCCCCACCTCAGCTCTGTGTAGTGGAAGCACCCTCAGAGCCTGTGGAGTGGACTGGGGCTGAAGAATCTCTTTTTCGAGTTTTTCATGGCACCTACTTCAACAACTTCTGTTCAATAGCCAGACTTCTGGGGACTAAGACATGCAAGCAGGTACTGTCTGAAGGGGACGGGAATCAGTCCTCGCCCTGGGAGCCCTTTGGTCCTTTTGTAAGGCTGCCTGTCTGGACAGAAACTGTCTTAGGTTCAGTCCTTCATGAGCCTGTGCTTCTGGACCATGAGGGGGATTCCCCACACATGGGGGGCTTTCTGCAAATGCCAGTATGCCAGTGATACTTAGGATCTGCTCTCCTTGCTGAATTCTTACTTCTTTTTTTTCTGAATTCTTATTTCTGTCTGTAGCCACTATCTAACTCTTCTGGATGTTTCTACCCTCTCTCAGGGTCTTCCTTTTTTTGGTGTTCTTGCCTTTCTTTCTAATGCATGGATGCGTGCTAAGTCGCTTCAGTCGTGTCCAACTCTGTGCAACCCTATAGACAGCAGCCCACCAGGCTTCTCTGTCCATGGGATTCTCCAGGCAAGAATACTGGAGTGGGTTGCCATTTCCTTCTCTGTTTCTTTCTAAATGTGGACCCATTTCCTGGAAGGCACTCCTGGGTCCTTCTGGGGATCTTCTTATCTCACATCTCTGCTCCTGCTTCTGTAGCTGCCACCATCCCCCTAATCAGTCTTCTCAGTTGCTTTTTTCTTCAAATGTTCTATCATTAGATTTCCTAATTACCACCCCTAATGACTGGGTCTGGACCTTGTGCATCTCACTCACATCATCATTAGAATCATGATCTGATAGTAGCTTCTGATCTGGAGGCAGGAGAAGCCTATAGGGAGCAGACAGACTGAAGCGCAGGGATAGAGAGTCAGGTATTGGGGCCAGCTGGTCCAAACAGGAACACCAGAGCTTGAGCCCTCCTCACTTAGCTCCCCACTTTCCGGAAGAGTCTCTGCAATCTTTTCTTCATGTACTCTCTACTTGGAACAAGTAGTAGAACCATGAGCTGAAGTGCCCTTTGCTTTCTTTTCTTTTAAAGTGAAAGAAGGTTTACTCAGGGGGGAAACACACTCCATAGATGGAGTGTGAGCCATCTCAGAAGGCACAAGAGGCCTTTTTGGAGGAAGTAGAAATGAATAGCTTTATTGCTTTGCCAGTCAGAAGGAGACACATTGGGCTCATGCCTTGAAAAACTGTGTCCCTCATTCCTTTCTTTTTGGATCTCATACCTATCTCCCCAAGGCACAGGTCTTTTACCTAAGAGCCTGAAAACTGTGTACAAAGCAATTTTTGTGTGTTATTTTCCTGAAAAGAAGATTCACAGTTTTCATGGAATTGCGAGAGGGCCTGTAACAGAGAAGAAAAAACTAAAAAACAAATGTTCTAAGGGAAACAGCATGTTAAAAGGGACCAGGCCTTCCTGAAATGCTGTCCTACTAAAATAGTCAAGGCTCTAATAACATCTTTATGCCAACAGAGGGAGCTAGTGCTTAGCTGGGTGGTACCTCAGGTCACTTCAGACTCAGTTACACAAGGTACACAACACTGCCCTTCCTAATAAGAGGCAGATACTGTTGGTAAGAATTGACTCCCTCTGGGCTTGGAAGGCAGAGCAGTAGATGAAAGCAACGGACCAGGAAAACTGTACCTGTGCTCAGTCAGGATAAACACTTAAGAATTAACTTCAGGGACTTCCCTGGTGATCCAGTGGTTAAGACTTCTTGCTCCCAATGCCGGGGGCATGGGTTCAATCCCTCATCAGGGAAGTAAGGTCCTGCACACCACACGGCATGGCCAAAAACAAAACAAAACCAAAAACACAACCAAAAACAAAGGACTTCAGAACCAGCAACCCGGTGTCCCAGCGCCGCTCTGTCTCTCCCTGCTAAAGATGCTCAGTCATCTCCCCACAAGCTCTCCAGAAACCAGCACCTGCCTCGGTCACTTATCTGACCTCTCAGCTCAAGAAGTGACAGGTCCTATTGGATTTCTCTTCCAGGTCTTCCAGTTTGCAGTCAAAGAGTCACTTATCCTGAAGCTGCCCACAGATGAGCTTATGAACCCCTCGCAGAAGAAGAAGAGAAAGCACAGGCAAGGGTTGGACCGAAGGCTTTCTGTGGCCAGGCTGTTGCTGTACCCTGACCGCCCCTAGGGCTTCGCTGCTGCCTCCCTCTGCAGCCCCTGGCCATCAGTTCAGCATCACCCAGCGGAGGGCCTCCTCAGAGCACAGCCTCCTCAGTGCTCCCTGCGAGTCTGTGCCTTAAATCAGCCCTTCCCTTGTCCTGCAGTGCTGTGGACCATGAAATAACTGATTTTTAAGCCCCTGGCCAGCAGGATGTGAACTGGCCTCATGGCTCCACCCTGAAGCTGTTTCTTCTCACTGGGTTGTTATTACCACTGTGCTCACTTCTCAACTCTGACCAGAGTTTTTTGTTCTGTTTTTGGCACTTGTTTCTCTAAGTTGCATAATAACACTGTCTTCTAGCTAAACTTTGCTTAGGGTTGGAACCTTTTTTTTTTTGCATCCAGCACTCCATCTGGCTTTGTTCCCTAAAGAAATGACACTGGTTCCAGATATAGAAGGAAATCCCTGTGGCATCTCCCTTTCAGTTCCTTTACTCAGAGCAGATTTCTGAAAAGTCTTTCCACCTCCCCATCATGAAATGCCCACATATCTCCACCTCCTCAAAGAGAGGGAGGGCAGGGGAGAGGAGAAATGGAGAAACGGTAGCATTTTAATAGACGTAGAAGGTTTGGTTTGGTCTTGCATCTGTTTTTGGTTTTTTTATGTATGTTCGTTTATGGGTGGGATGTGGTGTTCTTGTTTAAATCTTGAGCCAGAGGCCAGCTGCAGGTAAGGTGGGCTCCAGCTTCTGTGGACTGGCGTCCAGGCCTGTTGTGAAGGGATTTTTGGAGGATTCCAGTGATCAGATCTCAGTCCCCCAGAGGAGGTCATGCTGTCATTTACCTAAATCTGCAGAGTTCTCCAGGGCCACGACCCTGAGCTGTACTGTCTCTTGCAGGTTGTGGGCTGCGCACTGCCGGAAAATTCAGCTGAAGAAAGGTAAGCTCCACTGGGGCACTGCGCTCAGGTCGCAGCCTGTGGCTGCCCCTCCCCCGCCCCACCCATGGCTGCACTTATTGACCCTGCATGGCTTCCGCACATTGCAGGTCCCCCCTGCAACAGCTGATAACAGCTCAGCTCCTCACTGCAGCTGAGACCTCTCAGGAGATATAGTCACAAGCCTGTGGTCTCTGACTTTCATCGTGTGCCATATACAGGGTTCTAGGCTTCATTTAGTGTTTTGGGGTGGGTTTGTTTTATTTTTTTGGCCAAGGGGCATGTGGGATCCTAGTTCCTTAACCAGGGATTGAACTCAGGCCCCCTGCCGTGGAAGCACAGTCTTAACCCCTGGACCAGCAGGGAAGTCCCCTCATTTAGTGTTTGAAATAACTGCCCTGTAATCACACCATTTCCACACTCTCCCTGCAGAGAAGATCACGCCATTGTAGCTTATGGACCACTACCATCTGTGATTACTTCTCACGTCAGGTGCTAAATGCATGCCCAAGTTGGGCAGAACAAGCCTCCTGAATGGGGGCAACTGGACCCTAGGGAGAGAGGGTGGCTCAGGAGCGTGGCCACAGTAGTGTGTTCTTTTCTCTCTTAGATAACTCCTCCACCCAGGTATACAACTACCAGCCCTGCGACCACCCGGACCGCCCCTGTGACAGCACCTGCCCCTGCATCATGACTCAGAATTTCTGTGAGAAGTTCTGCCAGTGCAACCCTGACTGTAAGAGTGCTCTGTTGGCTGCAGTTGCCGACCTCAGCAGCCCAGGTTTCCCTCCCCTCGCACCCTTCTCTGCTTACGGGCCTTCCAATACCCTCTGTGCGGCCCTTAAAGCATTCTACAGAGGAAACAAGATCTTTAAGATCAGGGCAAGTCATTTTTTAAAAAGTCCTGAGGTTATGATTCTAAAAGCCACAGTTACACTGAAATAAGCTGCTTTTCCAGCTTCACATTCTAGGGCAGCATTAAGAAATGGGAGAATCTTTTTCCTTAAGGTGTAAATACAGCCTCCCTTTCCAGGATGTTGTTTTACAACGTATACAGGTTACAGCTCTGTGTGTGTCTGTTTTAGTCTGCTATCTGGAGCTTTAGCCTCAGGTCGGTCTGGATGTCAGCAGAGGGTGGGACAGAGACTCAAGAGTGCTTTTCTCTTGCTTCTTACCCTTGCCTGCCCGCCCCCACTGAGGCTGAGCAGTTGGGTGGCAGCCCCCAGAGCTTGCAGACCTGGGTGCCCAGGCAGTTGTGCTGGAAATATCTTGTAACACACAGCAGATAGCAATCTTAACCACAATAGAGGGGTGGGTGATTGTGCTGGGAGGGCAGTGGGTGGAGGATGATGGCACAGAACGGATGCATTATGTTCTCAAAATGATTCTTGTTTTGATGGTGAGGATTTACCAGTGAAAAGCACTGATTTCTTCTTCTCTGGAGCACTGTTCACCTCCCTGCCAAATTCTCCCAACAAAGTGGAGGTGGTAAGGGGAGAGCATTGTTAGGGATTCTCTAGAAAACACTTCTCCAGAATCAAACCTGCTTTTCTGACTCAGATGTGAATGCTGGGAGATGCTCCATTTTCTCTGAAAAACACTTGAGTCTGTTATTATTGGGACTGCCCAGGTAAAGAATTCACCTGCCGGTGCAGGAGATGCAGGTTCGATCCCTGGGTTGGGAAGATCCCCTGGAGATGCAAATGGCAACCCACTCCAGTATTCTTGCTTGGAAAATCCCATGGACAGAGGAGCCTGGCAGGCCACAGTCCATGGGGTCACAAAGAGTTGGATGTGACTGAGCCACTAAACAATAACAACAACACGTGATTATTGGGAAGGCAATTTCTCTGCTATTTGCCAAATATCCTTGAACCCATAACACTGATGTCCCCGCTGTCCCCTGAGTCAAAGCGGACCCCCGCATTAGCCTGCTCGTCTCCCTGACGTTCCCTGTCACCCTGCGCAGGCCAGAACCGCTTCCCCGGCTGCCGCTGCAAGACCCAGTGCAACACAAAGCAGTGCCCGTGCTACCTGGCGGTGCGGGAGTGTGACCCCGACCTGTGCCTCACCTGCGGGGCCGCGGAGCACTGGGACTGCAAGGTGGTGTCCTGCAAGAACTGCAGCATCCAGCGCGGCCTCAAGAAGGTGCGGCTTTCAGCTCCAGGCCAGGCACAGGCAGGCTGAGGATCCGTGCAGCCTCTGTCTGCGGGCCCCTGAGGTGGTGTGCGCACCGTGTTGGTGATTCCCGACAGACACACATTTCCTGAGTTCATCAAGCCTTTGGTCCCCTCGAGGGATTAGAGAAGTAATCCCCTGACTTGGCCAGACTGAGAGGAGCAGGGAAGAGGCCATGTCACTGACCATGTCTGTTTTCTGTGGACATTCACAGTGAGTTCCACAGGGTCAGCTATAGGAGGTTCCCCAGGCTAGAGGAAGAGGTATCAGGTCTCTTTTCATCACCTCCCACCAGAATACAATGGCTGAGTCCTTTTTCTGTTTTCAGATCCTCTTACAGTTGCTAGTTCTTTCCACCCTGCTGCCCGCAGCCCACGTGCATGTCCAGCACACATTCCCCCCCGCCCCCAGCTCGCACACGCCCTGTAATCTGAGGTTTGACTCCCTGTTCCCCAGCACCTGCTGCTGGCCCCCTCAGATGTGGCCGGATGGGGCACCTTCATTAAGGAGTCAGTGCAGAAGAATGAATTCATTTCTGAATACTGCGGTGAGGTGAGTGCTATCGGTGTGGCCCACATTCTTACATGGAGAGATACTGATGAGAAACCCTTACTTTCTGTGGGCCAGACTTCTGTGAATTGATCTCTAAATAACTCAGCCAAGTTCTCGTGTGGCCTCTCGGGGGATCCCACAGAGCTGTTTGCAATCCTGAAACAAACCACTCTTTCTTCGACTTTCTGGCAATTCAGGCTATACAAGGGGGCCAGGCAGGCGGGGGACTCTGGTCTGTCTCAGTGCTGGTTAGCCTGTGCAGGGATTGGGATGAAACTAGCTGAGCTCCCCCTCTGACTACTGTTCTTGTGGTCCTCCATAAGCCCCCTCCTGGCCCTTTCTAGAGGCAGAGTGCCATGCCCTGAGCAGGCAGCCACTGTCTGTTCCTTGTCTGTCTCTACAGCTCATCTCTCAGGATGAGGCCGATCGACGCGGGAAGGTCTATGACAAGTACATGTCCAGCTTCCTCTTCAACCTCAACAATGGTAGGGAGTCTCTCTTTCATCCCCACATGGTCTCAGGCAGGTCTTCCTACCAGACTCCCCTGGTCATCATTCAGGTTCAGACCAGCGCTGAGTCTTCCAGCTGATGATTAGAGCACAGTGCTGAGACTGAACTCAGAGACTCCAGGAGCCACAGTTTGCTTGCTCTGGGAGAACCTCCATTTCCGGGTTGTGTTTGTTAATCAGAGCCCCGAGTGCTTATACCTCAGAAATCTACCTTCTGAGTAGGTGGGAGGGGAGGTCTGTAATTCCCACAAGAGGAAGGGAACCCGCAGGGAGTGCTTCCATGAGAGGCTGTTTCTAGCTCCAGTTGGTGTGCTGGGACTCAGAGTTTCCCCTGCATTGTTTCTGTTACAGTTTAGTTGATTTCAGATTCAGGCTCAGGAAGCTGTAGAGTTTCCGGGTAAGCTCATGGTCCCTCTGGTTTACTTTATAGATTTTGTCGTGGATGCTACCCGGAAAGGAAACAAAATTCGATTTGCAAACCATTCAGTGAACCCCAACTGTTATGCCAAAGGTGAGTTCCCAGTAACATGGGAGGTGGGATAGATGATGGGTGCGTCATTTACTATGATTTCTATCCATTAGTTCAGTTTTTTTTCGTAACCGAATTATTTCTTTGTCCAAAGATAATCATGATTAATGTCTAATATCATTTTGAGCCCTTCTGTCTTGGTTTTTTAATCTGCTTTTCTGACTGAATACATTATAAACATTTTTTCCTAATGTGAAGCTTTTGAAGATAATTTTTTCCCTGTGTCACTAGCCAAAATAACAGATCTAAAAGCATAAAGACATCTACCTTCATTGATGACTTTCTGATTCCTCTTCATGTGTGTTTTCACTGGGAATTGGGAGAAAAGTGGCCCAGACTCACTACTGATCATTGACTTGAAGTGACTTGGAATCTAGCCCTGGTTTTATCCTATTTCAGTGGTCATGGTGAACGGGGATCATCGAATTGGAATCTTTGCCAAGAGGGCAATTCAGGCTGGCGAAGAGCTCTTCTTTGATTACAGGTAAGGCAGCCAGGAATAGTCCTAGGGAAGTGGCCCAAAGGGCAGAGAGGGTAACTGTTGAAATTTATCTGGGGGACTGAGGGTGAGTGATATGGATGAAGGAGGACATCTCATGGTGACCAAGGCTTTTTCTCTGTGGTGCTGTCTGGTGCCTTACCTCTGAAGCAGGAGCCTTGTAGGAGGGAGTAGGAGGGGAAGTGAAATGGGAGGGAACTTCATCTTTTCAATCACACCGGCCTTGGTAGTGACCTGGTTCCTCCTCCTGCCCTGGGACAGGTACAGCCAAGCTGATGCCCTCAAGTACGTGGGGATCGAGCGGGAGACGGATGTCCTTTAGGCCTCGTGGGCCCCTCGCCAGTGCTATGGTCGCGGCACTGTCCTGCTTTCATGCACACACCACTGCTGCTCGAGTTTCCTGCACTATGTGTCTCCTACACCGAGAAACCCCCCACCCGCTCCCTCTGTAGTGAGGCCTCACCTGTGTCCAGTGGAGACAGAACTGTCTCAGCGAGAGGGGAGACAGAGGCGGCTAGGGCTTGGGCTCCCAGGAAAGAGAGTTGCATCAGTGGGAGACTGCGTCTCAGGCCTTGGAGGAAGAGAGCACAGGCTGGGGGCAGGTGACGTTTGCTTGAGTTCTTAACGGCTCCCCAGGCTGTGGGCCTCAAGGGTCACCTTGGACGGTTCCTAACAAGCATTAGCCTAACTTTCCAGATCAAGGATCCTTCCTGTAGTTGGGTCACCAGCAGATCTCTCTGTGGTCCTGAGACCAGGAGAGGACAGGTTCAGTGAAGTTTGGTACCCAGAGCTTGTGAGTGATCAGGGTTAAAGATGAGCCTGGCAGGCAGAGCAGACTGAATTCAGAGGGGAGATGGGGAACCTGACTACTACCTCTTTCCCCGTGACATGCTTCAAACTGAAAGAGTGTGGGTTCTAAGAAAAGCTCTTCAAGGCTGGGAGAAATAAAGCTGAGTGCCATCCATCTTTCTGCAGACAGTGAGAACCAGCCCAACGACAATAATAAACTGCTAAGCTTGGGACCCAGCAGGCTTTGGGGCACCCTCTGTGTGTACTCTGGAGACGAATGGGTATGTTTTCAGATTCCCAGGAGCAGATGCCAGTGCCCTGTCAACCCCTTTCAAAGTTCTGATTTGGCAGTGACAGGTGGGCATTACACTGCTGCTTAAGAACTGGAGGGGTGGTGCAGTCTGGGTCTGATGCTCTTGTTCCCTGCAGATGTAGCTGTTTTCAGGCCTTTCTTTTCCTTTAGAGGCTGGGCCTATGGGGCCGCTTTTGCTCCTGTCTTCCGGGTAGTGGGGTACAGGCCTGGACTAGCGAAGGGAAGGTTGGTGGATCACTTTCCTGCCTGGAGTCCCTGTTGTAGGAAAGGATAAGTTGACACTATGTGTTTGGAAGTGGGCGAGGAGCTCCCAGGTTGCGCGTGTTTGGGATGGCACCACGCAGGCAGACTGGCAGAGGGTATTTAAATGTCGAGAAGACGCAGGTCGGCCAGCTGTGCCAGTTCATAGTGACATTCTCTCTGGGATTCATGGAAGCACTTTATTTCCTCTAGAAGGTCTAGAGATTGAGGTAGAGTTTGAGCTAAGGTCTCGGGGGTCCCTGCCCAAATCTCTTTGCTGAGGGAGCAGGGAGGAGGTGGTGGGAGATTCTCCTCCAGCTCTATCTCATGTCCTGGTGGAGGCAGGAGCTGCCGTGAAACAGCAGAATTGAATGAGAATGGCACCAGCCCTAAGAACCGCCCCTGTGTCAATGGCTGGTGCTGAGCTGCAGGGAATAAGGCGCTTTGTGCTAGGGAAAGAGAAGTGGGCAGGTACAGACAAGCCTAGGGTGTTAGATAAGGGAGCGGGCTTCTCCCTTCTCTGTGGAGTCAGAGCCTCTCTTCCCTGGTCTGTGCTGACCACCCCCTTCCTCTAACCCCATTGGTTGTCCCAGTGAAGCAAGGAGTAGGGTCCCCTCTGGCCAGACTGTTACCTAGGGATTTCTGTGGGACATGCGCGTGCACACGCATACACACACACACACACTCACTCACTCACTCACATACCCTCACTCACCACACTAGTGGGCACACAGGCACTCAGCGCTGAGCACACACCCAGCCAGTTCCTGACAGAAGCCTCTTCCCACCTGACGGGGCCAGCCCCTGCCAGGCTTCTGAAATCTTCATCTGCTGTGGTTTGTATGCATTGTGTATAGGGGACACCCTCTAGCTGGACTGTGGGCTCCGAATTACTCATAAATTATAGGGAAAAACCAGAGACAGAGGAAGGAGGGTTAGGACTGTCTGAAATGCAGTCCGGGGGCTAGCTATGAGGAGTAGATGGGGAAAAATTGACATCCAGCCTTTGAAAGGCTAGACTGACCCCACCCTTCCCTCAGCGTGCAGAATCACTGTGGTTGACCCCCTCCTTCCCCTGTGTCAGACCACTGCCTACTGCTGTTGCTCCAGCATTCCCATCCTCTCCCCTGATCTCCCCCACCTCTAATGACGGGTCTTAACCCCTCCCCCCAGACAAGTAATGATGGATGGAGTGAGGTGGTGGGAATGGCGGGGGAGGCTGGTATATGTGCGGCTCTGTTGCCAGTGAATTTCACGCACTTTAAAGTCCTGTGGCTTGTGACCTCTTATCTGAATAAAGTGGTAGAATCCATGTTGGCAAGTTGTGTGCTGTGTGCTTTGGGGTCCAGGGATGAACCCTGAAAGGATCCAGGGGTGGCGGTTCAGGAGCAGCGCAGGCTGAAGCTTGAGCATTCTGACCTCCACTTGTCCACAGAGACCCAGGGTTGGGGGAGATCTGGGGCAGGGGGTTGGCAAGAACCAAGCAGCCTTTTAGCAGGCGATGCTGGGATTCTGAGTGCTCCCCATTAGAGATTCTGGAGCTGTCAGATTAGTTCCCTGAAAGTCATCCCGCTTATCCACTAGCCACGCCGCCAACTACCACACACAGACTGGAGCTCTGTCACTCTGTTTTATTAGAACAGCTCCGAGTCTGAGAGCACAGCTTCAGAGTGGAGGCTGGATCAGGCTTGGGTGAGTGACCAGCAGACCTCGTGAGACTTCCAGCACAGGAGAAGCACACTGGGCGGGCACAGGACAGTCCATTGATTTTGTCTTTTATATATAAACTGATAATTTAAAAAAATTAGAGTGATATATATAGTTTCTCTAGAGAGAGACTTTGCAACAAAAAATATATATAAAGAAGATGACCTCCTGGACAAATGAAGCAGCATCTCTGAGCGGAGGAAAGAGGGCTCCTCATGCATTGGAGGGGGGGGGGGGCCAAGCCTTTGGACAGGCACCAAGGCTATTGCATATCTTGGAGGAGGGAGGAAGAGTAGAGGGCTGGCTAGTCAGTGTGTTTGCATTATTCTCTCTACATTGCAAGTTTTTTTTATGGCTTTGGCTAAAGCGTTTAAAGCAGCGGAGGTACTAAGGTGCTAAACTGAGGCCTCTTGGTCTCTGTAAAAAAACAAAAAAGGGGGGTGGGGGGGCAGCAATGAAGCCCTCCCTAACCCCCAACTGAGGGGAAGCAGGTGGAAGATGTTCTGCAGGGGAAGCGGGGAGGCTGGGGGGTATGATTGAGCAGCCTCCCCCCATGCCCTGGGCGCCCCTGCAATCCCACACATCTGTCCCTGCTGAGATTGAATATTTGAAGGGAGGTGGTTAATCTCCCCTGCACTCTGGTGTTAATTCCTGGCCACAGCTGGGACAGGGGTGGCAGGAAAGGCCTGGGCCAACCCCATGAGGCTTCTTTGGGGCAGGTGAACAACCAGGAGCCTGGGGAAATGGGGATGGGCAGGGCATTGGTTTTAGGCAGTGAGGCTCAGCCACTCCCTTTGGTCCCATCTGTAGCTCTGCCCACCAGACTTGGCAGGAGGGAAATCCTCTAGATGAGCAGAGCCAGCTAAGAGGAGCCACATGTCCCTGCAAGGATGGGGTGGAGGCAGGATTGGGGAATTCGGAGGAGACGGGCTTGGTCCTTGAAGCCCCTCTCCTGATTCATTCAGATCTGGACTCCTCCAGAATCTGGGGTAGGTTTTGGTCCCGGGGGCCAGGCGCTGGGGCTGGGGCTGGGGCTGGGGCTGGAGCTGGAGCTGGAATTTGGGTGGGAGCTGGTGTCGGAGTCGGGGTTGGGGCTGAGGCTGGGGCTGGGGCTGGGCCTGAAGTAGGCAGGGGAGGTTTGCTGCCAGGGTGGTAATCGTGTGTGGCCTTGGGCTCATTGGTGTGGTAGGAGCCCTTGTAGCGATGATTCTGTAGATAGAAGAGCACCAGCATTCCCACCAGTCCCAGCAGCAAGAAGGCCACCAAAACTGAAAGAGAAAAAAGGAACAATTGAGGGCAGATCTTTGAGGTTTCACCTATACACAGACACACGTGTATCCTTTTGGCCTAAAGCATATGTGTCCGACAGTGTCAGCTGTACAACCACATCAAGCTATTCTTGATGTGTCTGGTTGGTCTAAAGTCCTGGCTTCTCTTCTGTTTCTAATATTAGAATTTCTGTTTCTCATATGGTACATGTAATGTTTAATAAATTTCTCTTTCTAATAATAGAATTCTGTCCTATTTCTAATATTCTCTTTCAACATCCCTGGTACTTACTCCAGTTTCTCATCTTTCTGGATCTTACTCTACCCCTGTTTCCTCATCCCTTAGCTTTAGCCCCAATTATTTTTTTTATAATGGCTTTATTGTGATATAGTTAACATACCATAAAATGTATCCTTTTATAGTGCAGTAAAACTCCCTTTAAGACACAGTTCCTGCCTAATTCTGGGAACTTTTAGATATTAAACCCCTGATTTTGGTGGGAACATGTGGCCATGACCCAACAGAGGAGCATATGACTTAAGCTGCTCATCATGAAGTGAACATCATCTGATCCACAAAGTCATAAAGTCAGAGGCGTGACCAGCAATGGACTACCACTACGTGGAAATGGTATATTGAGTCAGGCAGTGATAGGCATATCACTGTAAAAACTGTGGCCCAGTTTTAATATTTCACTTCTATTAAAATCTATAGAATCTGCCAATATTTAAAAATCTCCAAGCTGATTATCAATTACCTTCAGCATAGCCTGTCTCATGGTTCTTGGCACCACCATATACTAAGTGCCTTCAGTACCCCTCAGGCCTGAGGATACGGAACAGGGAGGGAAGGCTGACAGCTAGAGGGTAGAATGAGAGGTCAGGGTAGGGACGGTGCCACTCACAGCCCAAAAGTATAGCAACCCATCCGTCATCATGGTAGTATGGGAAGTCTGAAAAAAAGAGAAAGCACCAGTTAGGAGGAGCCTCCTGCAAATAAGAATCATTTCCTTTCCCTCTTGTCCCTCTTTTCCCTTCCTCTTCTGTGTCCCTGGGGACATACCTGGGGGAAGATACCAGGGGTCCAGCTCAGGGGGCACCTCTGAGACGAGACGTGGCATGGCTCCGCAGTTAGACTCAGACAGCTCTCCCTGGACACGAAGGGCCTCGGCCAGCTCCGCGGTCATGGGTCGAGGCGTTCGGAAGTGGGTCTTGAGAGGAGCCACGTTGTTGAATCGGACACCAGACAGGCAGCCTGAGAAACCTGGTGTGTTGTAGCGCTGGATCTCTGGGTCAATCACTCCAGTCTCTGAGGGAGAGGGAGCCCAGAAAGAAAGGGGCTTGGACCCCCTAACAGCCCTGGCCCCTCTCACCACCCCTAGGTTCCCACTTTAGGGGCTCTTTAGCAGCACCTTCACTGCCACTTCCCATCCTTCACCCTCTTCTGGACTCCAGAGGAGTCCACAGCTCCTGACCCCAAATGCCGTCTTAGCCCCAGCTTACCCATAACGCGCCCCAAATACAAGGCCTTGGGCGAGTCCAGCTGGCTGTCCACCAACAGTGAGAACTTCTGTTCCGTCAAGGAGAAGTAGTCCACCTGAGTGGGGAGGGGAAAAGAGACGAGAGGGAGAACCAGCAGCAGACATAGCCCAGACCAGGCTGGGACTCTCTTCTTCCAACTGGTGGTGGGTCCGAGATCAGTCCCATGTGGTCAAGTCCTGGGCCCAGACATAGGATTTGGTATTAAAAACCTCACAAACTGGTTTTGAGCCCCGTCTTTGCAGCTTATGGTGGTTTGGGAAAACCACTTTACTGTCAGAGCCCCTTTTGTGACTAGTCAAATGAAGGTAAGAAGAGCAGCCTACCTGAACTGCCTCACAGGGCAGTTGTGAGGTCCCATGATTACAACATGTGAACATCCTCTGTACATTGGAATGTGCTCTACAGATGCTAAACTCTGCCATTTCCCACTGCCACAACCTTGATGGTGAGGTTATGACCTGAACCAGCCTGCCTTCCCCGGCACACACCTGGATGAAGAGGTTGCGGTAGACCCGGGTGATGTTGACGCTGTGGGGCTGGCCGTCCGTCACAGGGCGGGTGGTGAGCTGGTACACATAGGGGCTGGTGCCCAGCTGGTAGCGCAGCTGCAAGGTCCCTGTGGGGTGGGGAGAAGGAAGAGGGGGGTCTCCCCTCAGCTCCCAGAGTCCCCATTTTTTTTTTTTTTGGCTTTGCCATGCTGCCTATGGGATCTTAGTTCCCTGACCAGGGATGGAACCTGTGGCCCCTGCATTTGGAAGCACCAGAAAAGTCCACCGAAGCCGCCACCTTGGAAGAGCACTTGAGTCCTTGTATTGGTCAATAGTTACGAGGATGGGGGGCACCCAGAGGAAGCTGGAGTGGAGGGCGAGAGCCGTGGGGAACTCACCGTCTTCCTTGATGAGCACGGCCATGTAGTCACGCACAAAGGAGCTGACATAGAGCAGGACGGCGGGGGCAGACTGGGTGCTGAAGCTGAAGGACACCTCCTCTCCAGTGACGTTGTAGACAGGTCCGCGGTAGCCTGGCACCGGCCGGCCTGGCCGCGGGTAATCAGGCAGACGGTACCCAGGGCCATGGTAGCCGGGCACGTAGCCAGGAGTGTCATAGCCGGGGATGTAACCAGGCTCGTAGCCCGGCACTGGCCGGCTCAGCATGTGGGAGAACTCGCGGGCTGCGGAGCGCAGTGCCGACTGGAGGTTATAGCGCATCCAGGTGCCAGGCTCAAAGAAACCGCCAATGTCTGGGGCAGAGGTACTGAAGTCAGGGCCCGTCCCCCGCTCCAGATGCTATGTATGTCATCCACGCACAGGTCTGGCACGTGTCCCCAGTTTCTGCTACACCACAACCCATCTCCATTCACTTTTAGGTCCCCTGGAGGCCCTATGTCACGGAACGGAATCTTAAAATCATAAGAAATGTAAAAGATCATTTGATCTAACCCCTGCACTTTACAGATGGGGAAAGCAAGGCTCTGAAATGGGCAGTGACTTGCCTGAGGATACATAGTAAGTGGAGGGTCAGAATTAGAATCAAGATACCACAAGCCCACCTGCCACTACTCACACTTCTAAACCAAGACCAAACGGCTTCTATGAGTCCCTTAGTCCCTGTGTCTTCCTACCTCACCAGACTTCTCCCACCAGTGACCTACCTGCTCATGCATCCTCCTAGACCAGCCTTAGGGAGGATGTGGTCTTGGTGTATGTGCAGAATCTTGCTATGGTGAATGTCAAGGCTCTCCTTAACCAAGAACCAGGCTGTAGACATGTTTTAGGCGTGCAGCGACTGTCAACTAGGAAATGGCATAGGAGGGCGTCGTGCAGCCTGATGGGGATATGCTTACAAAGGGGGGTAACCTGGGTTCCCTTGGTGACAGTGGGAAGATAGGGAAGTTATTTGTTTTGTTGCTGTTGTTTTTGTAGTGCCAGCTAGCTGTGCCATCCCTTCCTTGTCCCGCTTTATTCCTTTGGAATCACCCAGCAGCTTCAGCTGCCTGAGAGCCCAGCTCAAAGCTCAGGAGCCCAGGATGACCACAGTCTTCCCCGATGCTGACACTGCGTCCTCCCTCCTTCCTCGCCCTCCCTACATCCCATTACGCTGTCTGGCTCATTCCTCCCATAAGCAGCAGCACTGACCGTGGTTGCAGTATGGCCCATCGAAAGCCGTAAGGTCACAGTCACAGGTGTAGTAGCTGTAGCGCTCCACACAGCGGCCGCCATGGAAACAGGGGAACCGGGGGTGGGCGCAGTGGCCTGTGCAGTTGGGTGAGGTACCCTCAGAGGCATTGGCACGGCCCTCCAGGTTCAGAGTCACTCCATTCAGACGCATAGCCCTCAAGCAACCCACGAAAGGCCGCCTCTTGAGCTCTGCAGATCCTGGGGAGAAGGTGGGCAGGTGGAGAGATGGGTGTAGAGCAGAGACAGGGGAAAGTATTGGGGCTGCAAAGGCAGTGAAGGGCTAGAAGAATGGAAAGAATGCCAGGGACTGGAGAGGAAGGGTGGGCCTTGGCTCACTGTGAGGCTGAGGGGACTGCGGCCTAAGAGATGGGGTTCCTGGAAACAAGGAGAGTGGCCTCGAGAGGGTAGGATGGTGACTGAGGCTTCAGATCTGCCTCCAGGTCACTGCTCACCAACATAGAGGGGCCGGTCATACTCCAGCCAGATGTAGGTCTGCAGGGGCATCGGCCGTAGCACCCAGGGCCGGTGATCCACGCGGAGCCGGGCCTGCTTCACGTTGATTTCCGCCCGGACTAGGTGCCACTCGTCATCGTTGAACTCAAAGTCGTCTGAGTGCACTGTCAGGTTCTCATCCCCATTCCCCACGTCAAAGGCGAAGACTACATCCCGGGATGCTGGACAGTGTGGGGGGCGGGGGGAGAGGACTCAGAGCTCCCAGGACCCTCACAGGGTCGATACAGCCCTTCTTCTTTGCTCTTTGGAGCTCCTTGACTGTCCCTCCAATCTGTCTACGTGTGGGCGTGCTAAGTCACTTCAGTCATGTGAGACTCATTGTGACCCCGTGGATTGTAGCTCCCCAGGCTCCTCTTGTCCATGGGATTCTCCAGGCAAGATTACTGGAGTGGGTTGCCATTTCCTTCTCCAGGAGATCTTCCTGACCCAGAGGATTGAACCCCTGTCTCTTATGTCTTTTGCATTGGCAGGTGGATTCTTTACTAGCTTGCACCACCTGGGAAGCCCAATCTGTTTACAGCCTGGGACAAAACTCATGAAGTGCTTAAAACCTCATACCTCTGGTCTCCCACATTCCCAGATCCCTGGAGCCAGCTTCCCAGCCCCACCTCTCAGGTTAGAAGCATAGCTCATCAAATTGGAGCCCCACCCCCCACCCCTGGCCACCCCACAGGAGTCCAGCTTCCTCACTCACAACTCAGGGCCAAAGGTCCAGAGAGGCCAAGTGGGTGCCCAGGGTCACAAAGCCAGCTATCGAGATGGAGCTGGGTCTAGAAGCCAGGCCCATCTAAAGCCCCTCCCATGCTGCCTTTCAAAGGGGCATCTGGCCTTGCCACTTACCCCAGCCTCCACCCACCCCACGTCTTCCCCAGGGATCTTCATCCCCCCAGTGTCTGCTTGCTCACTGTTGAGTTCCACGCGCACGTAAGGTCGGCGCCACTGGCAGTAAGGGCCCCCCATATTCTCTAAGAAGACTCCTGAGGGAGCCGAGGTCCTGAAGTAGAAAGAGACGTCAAGACTGTGGTTGGCCCGGATTGGGGGAAAGCGTAGTGCAGCCCCAGTGTGGAAGGAGATGGTGTTCCAGGAATTTCCTACAGAACCAAATGGAGGAAGGCCTTGTCAGCGGGGCGGGAGGCAGGTGACAGGGCAAACGGGGACAGCTGGGGGAACCCAGGGAAAAACTAAGGCGTGTCATGAAAGAGAGGAAGGTGCAGGTGCATAGGAACAGGCGTGGGCATGTCATAGCCGGAGCCAGGGTGTCTGGCAGGGTGTCCTGGAGACCCCCGCACACACACACCCAGTGAGTCAGGGCTTTGGAACTAGAGAGCTGACCCTGCGAGGGCACACGGAAAGGCTCTGCCACTCACGGTCGCCGTAGCAGCGCAGAGGCCTCAGGAAGAACTGGGCCTCCGAACTGGATCGGTTTGTGTCCCCCACCACCACCTGAGTGACAGGCAGATGGTCCACAAAGGTCAGCAGGCCCTTGTCGGTTCTCCTGTGGGGTGGGGATGCGACGGCTCAGCCCTTGCTGCTCAGCCACCCCCAGCATCCTGAAAGCCCTGTTTCTCTGCCCCCCTTACCACTGGGGCTGGTCGGCGTCACAGTTACAGTGCAGAGCAGGGTCCACACAGCTCCGGTCCAGACCACAGGCACAGCGCTGGATCCCAGGCTGCGAGCCGCCCCAGTAGAAGTGCTGCTCCTCATTTCGGCCAATCCAAAAGCTGTAGGGGTAGCCTCCTGGGGAAGAAGGGCAGGCAGCTTCCAGGCCCCGCCCTCCATTAGCCTCAGGGTTCCTCCCTCACCCTTCCAACCAGCCCAGACCACTTCCTGAGCCCTCTGGTCCTCTTCTCCCAGACCCCATGGGTCTCTCCTCCAGCTTTCACCCTGCCCTCCCCACCCCAGCCCTAACCTGCTGTGTTGAGCAGCCGGGAATTGTAGCAGGAGAACTCGATCCACTGCTCACAGTGCTGGGAAGCATTGGCCAGGGCACTGACCTCCTCCCAGGATGCATTCCAATACTGGACAGCCCCGAGGAATGGCCGCTCCATGCTGGAACCGGTCACCCGAGTCGTCCACAGCCTGTCATGGCGCACAACTGTCCATGCCCGGTTCTCTGGGGGAGGGACGAGGCAGAGCTGTGGCTGGAGAGAAGCATTCTCTACCCACCTCCCAACCCGCCTCCAGCACCACTACTGCAATTCAGAGCCAATAAACGAGGCCAGAAGCTCCATTCCAGCCCAGCTCTAAGTCTCCAACATCATAGACCGGCCATGAGACAGCTGGGATGGATCAGGAAGCTGGGATCTAGCTGCAAGGCTAGATTACAAACTCCTGAGTGTTCCCTTCCCGCACTGTCCTCCTTTACCCCTCCACTGTTTAATCTTACTGTCTCCGGTCCACCCTTCCATCCTTCCTTGTTCCCCCCTACACTCCCACACTTCATCGTCCGCTGCCCATCACCCCTCAGTCAGAGCCATTTACCTCGGATATCACAGTACACCACAAATGGCTTCAGGGGGCCACTACCATCAGGATCAATGGTGAAGTTCCCAGAAGTTTTCCCACTGAGTCGATAAGCCTCACAGGATTCCTTATACAAAGCTGGTGGGTGGTGAGTTGGGGAAAAGGTAGTTATGGGGTTGGGAGCTAGGAGGGTCAGCCCCATCATCTTTAGCAGCCTCATGGTCCCCAGAAACTTCCTGACTCTCCCCCAGGCTCTCCCCACACCCCCGCTGGCTTACGCTGGTGGCAGGTCTCCCCCTTGTAGCCTGTCAGTTCACAGTAGCAGATGAAGTCATCCCAAGACTGGTAGCAGCGACCGTCATGCTCACACATGTTAGGGCTGCACCTATGGGAGGGGGTCAGCACGCAGGGAAGGAGCCTTATGGGGAGCTGCAGAGTAGGGTCTGACCCCTACAGGCTTCAGTCCCAGGTCCTGAGAGCACCAGAACGCACCTAACATACTCCACCTAAGTAGCCAGGTAGAAGCCTAGATGTTGGGGCATGAGGCAGGCCTCAGGGCTCAAGTACTACTGTTGCTTCTTCCCCAAAGGAATTAATAATGCCTTATATCCCCATCTTCACCTCCCCACCAAAGAAAACCCTCTAGGACCAAAAACAGATGCTTCATTTCCATTCTGAGCATGTGACACTTTAAGGGAAGAACCGGGAGGTGAGAGGTCAAGAAGCAATCATCCCCAGGTGGGAGACTCAGGAGCTGGGACCAGAAGGGAGATCATTGAGAAAGGCCATTCCCATCACTGGGAGACCATGGAAGAGGGCTTTGGAGGGGGTCACCTCTTGGAGGGAGAGGGGCTTCTGGATACCTATCAGTGATGCCACATGTGTCAAAGAGGACCTCAGCATAGTATCCAAGCCGCCGGCCCTCCACCAGAGTCAGGTTGACCAGTTGACCATCCACCTTGAGCAGCTCCATGCAGCCATGGAACGCCGTCTGGTTGGAGTGGCAGCCCGATCGACTGGCTGGCTTGGGACAACCTGGAGCAACCACCCCTGTGAGGCCCTCCCCAGGGTAGACTCCAGCGACCCTCCCCCGGGGGATGCCAAGGGAGAGCCAGCCATGAAGGAAGGAAGCAAGGAAGGGGGCCAGTAGACAGTGACAGTGACGTTCCAGTCCCCAAGGCCCCAGAGGGGCAAGAGGGATTTACTGCTACAAAGCTCTCCATGTAGCCCTCTCTGGGTGGACTTAGATGGGGCCTTCCCACCCAGAGACAGGGGTCTAGCCAGATTGACCTCCACTTACCTCCAAAGAAGTATGAGGTTCCTGTACGGATCAGCAGTGGGTATGAGACCCTGACCTCTGCCCCCTCCACATCATCAATGCTGATGACTGCATGGTTTTCCTGGGCTACAAAATTCACCTCGTGCCAAAAGCCGTCATTCAGGCGGAACCCTGGACAGGACAGGAGGACAGTGTGGGTGGGGGAGGCACCATGTTCTAGAAGAGTGTCTTGAGTGGAGAAGCAGCAACCCCACTCGGTGTCCTAACAGCAGCCTCTGTGCTTCCCATTTTTACACTTATCACACTGAGCGGTGACATCCCCAAATGTCTCTCTTCACTATGTGGAACCCCAGCCGCTGACACAGAGTCAAAAGGCATCAGTGAATGACACCCACAGGGACCCTCCAAATGGAGTACCAGGATTCTCAACCTTAGTCCCTCAGATCTGCCCGGCCCTCCAACTCCCAGCTGTCTACATCCTGGGACCTCCTGCAGGGCTCCCTCCCTTCCCTCCCTCACCCCTCTGAGTATGCAAAGGCCTCAGTCCAGGCCTACAGTCTCCTAGCTCTCTACCCTGCTCTGGCCTCCCTTTGCCTCCCCTTCCTTTCCCTCTGCTCACCAGCAGCGAACTGAAGCTTCTTTCGGCCGGTCTGCACCACAGACACGTTGACCTGCCCTTCACTGAGCATCAGCTCCACGTGGCCCAGCCCATCCCCCAGGGAGGAGAAAAGCAGCAGCCCAGTGAGATCCCAGGTGCGGAAGCGAAAAGAGACTGCGAGGCGGCCGCGGCGGGGGAAGCCAGGCACTTGCACGAAGTTGTGAGGACCTCCGAAATTGATGGGATGAGGAACCGGGTCCAGGCAACGGAAGGCCACCTTACCCTGGGGACCCAAGTGAGGATGCATCAGCACCCAAGCTGATGCCCCGCCCCGGCCTCTGTGAGGAGCGGGGTTCCCTGGGTGTACGTCCCCAACCCCACCCCGCCCAGAAACACGTCCGTGTGTGGAGAGGTCTCCAGCCACCAAATCAGCCCTCAGGACTCTTCTCGCTGATCTACATTATCTTCTGATCCTCTCAGGAGCGCCTGATTAGCTCCTGAGTTGGGGTAGGGGGAACCACATAATACCTAAACAGCCCTCAAGTCCTTCCTCAGCCCCTGCGCTGTGTGACCGCTAGCCGAGACACTCTGGGCTGCCACACCGTATTCTCCTCACTTATAACAGGAGATGGTGAGACTAGGCCCCAGCTTTTAACTAGGCGGGAGCGAGGTGGGGAGCTGGCCTTTTGCACCTCCTGTGAGTCAGTGATGCCCCGCCCACAACGTGAGCAGCTGGCTAGGGAGAGGGCTCCTCGGCTTTTAGATGATTCTCAAGATCTCTCCCCGCCTCCACTCCCTTGTTCCCGGAGGCTTTGATGCCCCGTCCTCCCAGATCCCCCAGCCCACTGGCCTCGAAGGTGATCCGGGAATGGCGCCTCACGGCCAAGTCCGCGATGTTGACTCTGTTGAAGATGACGTTTTCTATGCAGCCGCGGAAATTATGCCGATAGGCAAGGTTCTTCTGCGCGGCGCCCACCAGCCCCCCGATGAACATCTGTGGGCGGGTGAGGAGTAAGCGTCCCTAGATGCGGCAGCGTGCGCGCCTTTCTCGAGCTCCCGCGCCGTCCACTTTCCCACGCTCAGACTGAGGTCTGAGACACACCGTTGCCCCAGTATCGGTATTGAAGCTGGAAGCTCGCTGGGCCTCCTGAGGCTTGGGTTTTGGCCCTGACCCCACCACAAATTGGCTGCATGCCCTTGGGTAAGTCGATGAACCCGTCTGGGGTTCTTTATCTGCACATCAGGGCCAGGAGAGGGCAATTTTCTCATCTTGCCTGATCCCCCAAACCCAGATTTCTAGACTCCATCTCAGCAGCTCTGGAGTGGAGCCTGGGAATCAGCATGCTAACACCAGCAACAACAGCAACAAAATCCCAAGCTTTTCTGGGAGTTTGCCAACTCCTGCTAGCATATTCAGAAAGCAAGAGTCTTACCTCTGAAAGAAGTGCCGCCACCCCCCACCCAGCGGCCCACCCAGCATCTCACTTAACCAAATGGCTCCTCCCCTCTTTGCTCACCTCGTTGTCCAGGTTCAGTCTCTCGAAGTCGCCATTGAGCACGAAGCGCTGCACGTAGCCGTCCAGGGTGAGATTTGCGTCACGGCCAAATCGGTCGACTCGTACGTAATGCCAGTGCTGGTCATTGAGGACTCCCCCAGCGCTCACGGTCGTGTGACCCGGCCTTGGCTGGATGGGACTGCTGCCTGAGGGTGGGGTAGGCCGGGGTCAGACGGGGAACCTGGAGAACCCCCCTCGGGCCCTACCGCCCAGCAAACCCCCAGGGGGAGCAACAGCCTACAATACAGAGGAGGAACTGCTCAAGGCCCAGGACGGCCAGGGAGGGTGGGCACATAGAGACCGGACCACCCTCTGCCTGCGATGGAGCGGTGGCCAATGGCAAGTACGGACTTAGTCATTTAACTTCTCTGAGCTTCTCTTTTCCTATCACTAACACGGGGCACGATAGCGGCTTCTACCTCATCATGTGCATATTATGGAAAGCGAATGAGATACAAAATAATAACAACGCTTCAGGAGTGTGTGTGTGTGTGTGTGTGTGTGTGCGCGCGCGCGCGCCTGTATACATATATACAATGTCTGACGGGGGAAGTGCTTGTCCAAGGTCACACCGCAGGTAGGTGCTAGGTGCTGGAATCCGCTTCTCCTAATTCCCAGTCCAGAGTTTCGCAAGCACCAAATTTTACACGAAGAAGGCAGATGGGTCCAAATAGTTAAGGAAGGGGAAGATAAGGAATGGGACGCGGCTTCGCGGAGGAGGTGCGACAAGGGGCGTGGGAGGAAAGCCTGGGGCTCCGCGCCGCGGCCGCGAGCTCACCCAGGCTCATGTGCAGCAGCAAGTGCGCCCCCTGCAGCTCAAGTGTCACGTAGTCGCCCTGGGCGCCCTCGGCGTGCAACAGGAGCCCGTCCTTTTCTTCGGTTTTGAAGCTGAAGGCGAACACGTCCCACAGACTCCGGCTGACTCCTCTCGGGAAGCGGTAGGAGATGGCATCATCGCCATCGAAATACAGCACGTCGGACTCTGCGGGAAGGACCGTAGGTGGGTCGGGGGCCGCGGGACTCTGTCTCCCGCCCCGCCACCACCACAACCCCGAACCCTTACTGTAAGGGCAGCCGTAGAGACCGAGCCTCAGGCCGATCTTGCCGCGCGGGTTCCAAGCCAAGGGCACGATGCGGATGTAGCGCGCCGTGAAGTGATAGTGCAGGTCGTGGCGAACCACCGCTGACTCGTTCACGTTACCGAAGAAGGTCTGAAGGCAAGAGGAGAGGGATGACCACGTTCCCACCCTCTGCTTGCTTTACCACAGCCTCCCAGCCCGCAGCTGTCGCATCCAGCTAATCTCGACCTCTTGAAGGCAGACACTCCTTATCTCCTCCGCCTTCCTGACTTTACAGTTTCTCTTCTCCACCATCCCATTATTTCCTCAAAGGTCAACTCAGATGTCGCCTCCTCCAAGAAGCACTCCCAGATTTTACCCTGAAGTATGTTAAACCCTGTCAATTGGGCGTATCCTGCACACACGTCAAGCAGATGGTCCTTCTGGACTGAGTCCCTGGAGTGAAAGTCACTGCTCCTCATCTGTGCCCTCACCACCACCTCCTCCCCCTCCCCCAAACCTGTGCCCAGCCCAGCCCAGGTCACAGAGCTGAGAAGGTTCCCCAAGTGTGTGTGCAGGGAGCCTGGAGTACCGCGTTGTGCCCTCGCTGATAGAATGGTGTCCAGCTGTCCACTCGGTCGCCATAGAGCAGCATGTAACGTGTGACCCAGTCCCACGAGTTAAAGGACCCCTGCGTGGCCACAGCCCGAATTCGGTGCTTCTTCATTAGGTCGATCTGGAGCCAGGGATTTGGGTCCCCAATCCGGGGAGACCATCCACTTATGCCTACAGAAGGGACAAGGGTTTTCACCACTGGCTCCCCCTTTACCTCCAGCCCTCCAGAGTCCCTCACCCCACCGTGGGGCACCACCGTGCTCACCATGCAGCCGGGCGAAGCGGGGCGCAGTGAAGAGCCCATAGTAGGAGGAGGCGCCCAGGGAGCGTGCATACAGGGGCCCAACCAGCTCCTCGTCGCAGCCGTCTGGGTTGCAGGAACAGACATGTTTATCAGGGCGGCCCCTCCCAGTCCTTCCAAAGGCCCAGAAGGCTTTTCCAAAGGCTGAGCAACTGGCGCTCGTTCTTCACTCCCCCCAGTGCAGACCCAGCCCTAACTGAAACCACCTGCTCGACGTGGCCTGCAGCAACAGCTGCACACTGAGGGGAGGCTGCCTTCTCCTCCTGGGGGAACCCCTAAGCCAGACCCTCCCAAGGACCAGTTGGGGTTCAGTACTCCCCAAAACACAATCCCAAACCTCAGCATCTTTCAGAACCTGAGTCACCCCAAGACATCAATCCATCCCCAGACTTAGCCTCAGTACCATTCAGCAGCACCCGCAAACCTGCATGAAGCCCAAATGCAGGCCTAGTCCCAACCCCAGCCAGTCCTAGCACCACCAGTTCCATGTTCAAACCTAGCGTTGTATAGGCTCACCAAATACTGCATGGATCCCAACCCCCAAATCCAGCCCCAGCCTTAGCCGCAAACCCCAAACCCCAAACCCTGGTCCCAGGGCAAGCTCCAAGCCCAGCCCCAGTCCCCTTAACCCTAGCCCGAGTCACCGGTACCACTCCTATTCCCAACCCTCAAACCCGGCACTCGCTCCCGCTTGGATCGCAGCCCCAAGTCCCCGCCCGGGCCGACTCGATCTTCAGCTCGGAGCCCAGCCCCAGCCCCGGGCGCGCGCGCCAGCTACGGAGCTGCATTGCGGAGCGCGGGGGAGAGGCTGAAAAGGATGAAAGCGCACGAGTGCGCGCCGGCCGGGAAGCGACCCGCGACCACCCAGCCGCAATGCGGTGCGGGACCCGCCCTGCAGACCTCGGACTCCCGGGCCCAACCCTGCCTGCCTGCGAGCTCTGCACTCACAGTAGCCCCAACCCCGGGCTCCTGAGACCGCGGCGAGAAGGATACAGAAGAGCCGGAGACGCATCATGCAGGGCTGACGGGTCTCGGAGGCCGCCTTCCTGTGCCCGGCTCCGGCTAGGGCTCCAGTTCCAGCTCGGCTATCCTCCTGGGTTTTCGCAACGAATGACTGTCTCTCCCCCTTACCCACCCCTCTCTCTTTCCTCTCTCCCCCAGCCCTTCTTTCTTGTCTCCCTAGGTGCCGTTCCTGCTTCTCTGCGGTTCTCTCCTCTCCTTCCACCCTCTCTCCTCTCACCTCCCCCCTTCCCCAGCCTCGCTCTCCTGGCACGCGCCGCTTTCCCAGACCCCGCGCAAGCGCGCGCCTCAGCCCCGCTGAGAAAGGGCGGGGGTAGAGAGCCTCCCGCCACCGGGAAATACCCTGAATAACCCGAGGCTGACAGGGACTGTGGCCGCAGAGATGGGGGTAGGGAGACAGGGGCAGGCTAGGGATCCTGGAAAATCCAAGAAAAGAGATGAAAAGGGAGGGTGCATGGAGATAGGGAGAGGTGCAGGTAAAAAGAATCTAATCTAACATTTTCGGACAGCAAATTCTGCTCCAGGCACGCGTGCTAGACACCTTCATCACCCTGTGAATTCTGCATTTTCACCTCACTTCATTTTGCAGATGAAAAAACCTGAGGCTCAGAGAGGTAAAAAAAAATTCTTCAGATCCCACATGTAGCTAGCAAGTGATAATATTCCAAAACCCTTTCTTTTTCTACTGGCAAGGTAATGGGAGATGATTATTTTTTTAGGAGGTAGAATACGAAAGTTAGGTAAAGAGGGCCCACAGACCCTCATCCTCACCTCCTCTCAGCCCTTCTCCCCGCCCCTTCCTTCCTGTCCCATTAGTTTATAACTTCTCTCGGTGGCTTTACCTCAGAAACCTGAGTAGCCAGAGATGGGGACTGAGCCTGCAGAACAGGTGGGAGTGGGGGCAGGGGGGAGGAAAGGGTTACAGGGAGGGAGGGTAAAGGTGAAGGGATGGGATTTCCCACCTGGCACCAGGTCTCTGCCTTCCTGTGACCTACCTAGGATGCCTGGAACCCTCTGGGGCCAGGGGCCCTCCAGATAGAAGGGGCTAGTAATGAGAGGCTGGGGTTGGGGGACACGACTGAGGATGAGAGGAAGGGTGAGCTGAATCTAGAGGTCTAAGGTCCCAAGTGAGCCCAGAAAACCTGAACTCCAACCTTTACGTCATGAGTAGTTCAGTGAACCTTGTACTGGAAGCTTAGGGGTGGGGGTGAGGAGGAGAGAAGGGAAAGGAGAGATAGAAAACGTTCTCCAGACCAAGCAAGGATTCCAGGGACCAAGTCTGAGGAAAAGTCTGCATGTGGGTGTTTTTCCAGGAGATGGCGCTACAAAGGAACGGAAGCTCTTAACATTTATTAATAATACAGAAGCTGGGCCTTCAGAGAGCACAGATGCTTCACATTCATTATCTTCCTTATTTCAAACAATCCTTGTTTCAAACCACCCCACCGGGAGGGCTGATAGGGATTTCTGATCTCCACATTACCTATTAGACAGCTGGAGAGCCAGAAAAGCAAATGATTTGCTCAAGGTCACCCAGGAAGCCGGATGTAGGGGCAGGAGGGGTGTGCCGGAAGTTAAGGCCTGTCGAGGACATGCTAGGAAGAGTTTGGAAAAGAGTTTATGTCTTCTCCCTGTGTACTGTACCACTGTACCTGGTCACACAAGGGCTCCTAGCTTGGAATGCTTGTGTGGGAGGGGGAGGAGTGTGGTGGAGCTTTGTCTCATAAGGTCTCTCTTCTCTTTGTTTTGGCTTCCTCAGGTTTCCTGGGGCCCCTACTCTGGGGACGATGAGGAGGCATATTCGGTCGAGCCCTTGCCAGAGCTCTGCTACAAGGCCGACGTCCAGGCCTTCAGTCGCGCCTTCCAACCCAGTGTCTCCCTGACGGTGGCTGCACTGGGTCTGGCCGGCAATGGCCTGGTCCTGGCCACTCATCTGGCAGCCCGACGTGCGGCCCGCTCGCCCACCTCCGCCCACCTGCTCCAACTGGCCCTGGCCGACCTTCTGCTGGCCCTGACCCTGCCCTTTGCCGCAGCCGGGGCTCTGCAGGGCTGGAGTCTGGGAAGTGCCACCTGCCGTGCCATCTCTGGCCTCTACTCGGCCTCCTTCCACGCTGGCTTCCTCTTTCTGGCCTGCATCAGCGCCGACCGCTACGTGGCCATTGCGCGGGCCCTCCCAGCTGGACCGAGGCCTTCGGCGTCAGGCCGTGCACACTTGGTCTCAGTCATCGTGTGGCTGTTGTCGCTGCTCCTGGCGTTACCCGCTCTCCTTTTCAGCCAGGATGGGCACCGGGAAGGCCAGCGGCGCTGCCGTCTCATCTTCCCCGAGGGCCTCACGCAGACGGTGAAAGGGGCGAGCGCCGTGGCGCAGGTGGTCCTGGGCTTCGCGCTGCCGCTGGGCGTCATGGCTGCCTGCTATGCGCTCCTGGGCCGCACGCTGCTGGCCACCAGGGGGCCGGAGCGCCGGCGCGCGCTGCGCGTCGTGGTGGCCCTGGTGGCGGCGTTCGTGGTGCTGCAGCTGCCCTACAGTCTCGCCCTGCTATTGGATACTGCCGACCTCCTGGCAGCCCGCGAGCGGAGCTGCCCCGCCAGCAAGCGCAAGGATCTGGCACTGCTGGTGACCGGGGGTTTGGCCCTCGCCCGCTGCGGCCTCAACCCCGTGCTCTACGCCTTTTTGGGCCTGCGCTTCCGCCAGGACCTGCGGAGGCTGCTAAGGAGTGGGGGCTGCAGTCCCGGGCTTCACCCCGGCGGCGGCCGTTGCCCCCGCCGGCCCCGCCTTTCTTCCTGCTCGGCTCCCACTGAGACCAACAGTGTCTCCTCCTGGGACTACTAGGGCTTTGAATCAGGAGGACGGGGCGGCCTGAGGAAATGTTTCCAGGGAGAGTAGTGGGAAGGGGGAGTCGGTGGGGGGCACTGAGAAAGAAATAGGGACCTAAGGAATTGCTTCTGTACTTTGGCACATTAAATAGACAACATGGAAACGAGATGCAACGCAACAACTGTTACTATTTTTGAGTCACCGGCTTGGAAGTGATTTGTAACAGGGCAGAAATGGTGGTTCCCCCCGCCCCCCCTTCCCACTCTCCCGCTCTTGGCTCTGAGAGAAAGGCGCTGAGAGCCTGGGTGGGGGTGGGGGGCTCCTGAGCCTGCTAAAGCTCTAGACACTGACACCCACCCCTCCACTCCCACCGGGTCTCTGCCAGCAGTTAAGGTGGGAAAGTTGCCAGGAGAGGAGGGGTGGGGGTTCCTCCTGGAATAGAGTAAGAAGAGCTTTCTAACAACCAGAGTGCTATCCAGTAATGGCTGCCTTAGCAAGTACCGAGTTCCTGGCCTCTGGAATGCTCAGGCTGAGACTGTCCGGGACTGTGTGTGCCTATGCCTGGTGTGGGGGTAGGAACGCGGCCAGGAGATTCCCGTTTTGGGTGTGCTTTTGGATTCAGTTACCACTCTACAATCCCTTCTAAGGTTCTCTTTTGGAGAGAAAAAAGTAATCTAAAAAGTTGAGTCGGAGTTTTTCACCTTGGAGAAAATCCAAGGAGAGAATTCCAATTTGCAGATTTCCAAAGAGTGGTTATCACGGGTGAGGTGGGGGTGGGGGTGAAGCCATTCTCCGTCTTCCTTCGGGACAGGGTCAGAGGGAATGCACTGAGCCTGCTGGAAAGACGACGGAAAGAACTTCCCTGCAGGCAAGGACCTGGGATCCAGACAGGGAAAAGAGTATATGGTTTCCATCCCGAAGAAGTCTCAGCGCAGGCCTCTCTCATCTGGGGCGAGGACAAGGCTGGGATAGCCTCTAGAGACATTGATTCCCAGTCTTTGTTTTACATAGTCAAGACACGCAGAATGGTGTCCACGTGCCACAGCTCTCGCAGTTTAATATCCGGTCAGCAAAGCTGCCCTGACCACTGCAGCCAGGGGCCTGGGGACCCAGGGCAAGAAGGGCGGAGAGTGGCGGGGATGTCTCCAGAGAGGCGCTGGCCTGTCGTCCCTGCCCTGTCCCGCCCCGCCCAGCTCGGGCTAGCTTTCCTTCTCGGAGCCTCCGGGGGCTGAGACCAAGAAGCACGGCCTCCCGGGACCAGGATCCAGGGAAGGCCCGGAGATGGCGCCGATCCTCAAAGGGTCCAAGCCACTGGGGGCCAACCTGGAACCCTCCACCGGAGCTCGCGGGAATCGCCGCTGAGTCAGCAACGCACGCGCGCGCCCGCGGTCACTCTGGCCCCGCCCCTCTGGCCCCGCCCCGTCCTCTTAGAGCCTCGGTTAACCCCTTCCTACCCCAGAACCGCAGTATCGTCGCCTGAGAAGCCTCCACTCCATTCGAAGATCACGGGATGCCCTAGAATCCCGTCACTTCACACTCCCAACTGGAGTTCAGTGAGTTGTGCGCTCTAAATTAGATTTTATTTCGGGCCCTGGACTGCACTTGCCCGGAGTCTCTGCCTCAGCTTCTACACCTCGAAAAGGTGACTCAGATCGAGGAATTGGACTCCATCCACGGACGGAGGGCTACACCTCTAGGACTGTGCCTGGCGCAGGTAGCTAAGGCTCTTTCCTTTCTTAGGAACCCTGTGACGAGACAGCAGTCGGAGGGCAGCACTCGGAGCCTTCCTCTATGCCCTATGGGCACCTTGTTCTCCAAAGCTCTTGCCCAAGAGCGCTTTTAATTTGTTGGTTGGTAAGCCAAGAGTTAAAACAAGAGCTTGAAGGCGGGCTTCCGTGACATCACTAGCAGTCCGCGTCTGACCTCAGAGGCGGGGGCGTGGCTAACATCACTCTGCCCCCTCCCTCCCTATTCCCTGGCCCCTCCCCGCTGTCACCAAGCCAGGGGCACATGATGCAACCCGCCGCGGTTCAGAAGGTTGATTGGTGGCCGAGCCCGGCGCCAGGCACAGGGATTGGACAGAGGAGGCTGTGACGAAAACTGGACACAGCCCTGTAAAGAAGGGAGGAGAGAAAGAAGAGGGAGGGGGGCCCGAAGAGGAGGGGGTAGGGGAGGCGGGGTCCCGGCACTGTGCTCGCGCCCCTAGCGCGCCAGTCCCCGGGCTGCAGGGAGCGCAGCGCGCGCGGCCCGGGCCCCAGCCACCGGACGCTCTGCCGGACACGACCCTCCTTGGAGCTTGGACAACTGCCCACCTCGGACACTGCACCGGACACTGCCCCCCACAGGGCTGGACACTACTTCCCAGCTCCGGACATTGCTCCCTCTCCCCCACCCCCAGCCCTGGACGCTTCCCCCCCTCCCCCTCCGGGGGCCCAGACTCCGAACCCCCTGCAGGCTCCAGCTAGCGACCCTTTGCACCCCAGCGCCAGACACCACCTCCTCCCAGTCCCCCACTCCCTTTCCCTCCTCCCGCCTCATCTTTCTCCTGCTCTGGTCGGAGCCCCGCCAGTTTCTCCGACCCCCTGCAGCTCGGCCTCGGCTGCCCGCGCCCCCATCCCGCGGCTGCTCGCCCGGATGCCTCTCCCCGGGGGATTGTGGTGGCTCCTCTGCTGCCGTCGAGGCTTTACTCTTCTGCACCGGGACTACGGGGACGGCGAGCTTAGCGGGGACGGGGACGAAGACGAGGACGAGGAGACCTTTGAGCTACGGACCCCGAGTCCAGCGGGCGGCGGGAGGGTAAGTCCCTGGGGGGGGTTGGAGCCTTGTCTCAACCCCTCTCACTACAACCGGCCGTCAAGCCTAATCCTGCTCCAGACGCCAGCAAACGCCGTGTGGACTGGGGTCTCTGGAGACGTTTTTGCCTGGGGGCCCGAAGCCCCCGAGAGCTCCAGCAGCAGCCTGCCTTGGGATGTGCCTGTGGGCCTCGCGCAGCACGCTGGGCGCTGTCCACCTGCTGGGGGCCCTGAGGCAGGGGAGGTGTCACGCCTGGTCCGACCTGGCCCTGCCTCTCCCTTCCCCGCCGGGCCCGCGTCCCATCCCGTCTCCTTCCGCCTCCGCCAGCGCCGAGGAATGTGGCGAGGCCGGCTGGGCAGCTCGGACGCCTGGGTCCGCTCCGCTCCCAGTTCACGAGCGCAGGGCGCTGGGGCTAGATGCGGGAGTTCCCGCCGCAGGAACCTGGGCGAGGGGAAGCAGGTATCCTCAGATTGGGGTCCGTGGCGGGGGCTCCATGGAGGGGGAGCTGGGGGCCACAGCTCTCCGAGGACCCCGCATCGTTACCCTGGCACTCAGGACAGAACTCTCCGCCCTTCTTGGTGAGGCTCCTCGGGAATCCCTGAGGGAATGGTGAGAGACACTCGGCTCCGGGGTTTCGTCGAATCTTGCCGTGGGGAAACTGAGGCTCTACTGATGTAGGGGAGGATCATTCCCTTACGTCCCCTCTCTGATGCCCCTACACCCCAGCCACCAGACTTCGGGCAGCCAGACTCTGTGCTGTGGCCTGGGTCAGGCTCCCATCCCCCGCCCAGGGGTCCCCAGCAGGCCCAGTGGCTCATTGCCCGGGTGGGGCGGGCTGCGCCGCCGGGGCCGGCGCCAGCACCTGGCGGAGGCGGAGGGCGGATAAATATAGAGGAGGGGGGGGAGGGAAGCAGGGGACTGCGATTAGGGTAGTTGGTCTAAGAGAGGGGTCAGCACCTGCCCCTACGGTGGTGTGGCTGAGAGCCCCTCATGGCCCCGCCAGAAAATAAGAGGACCTGTGCCCCCTGAAGGCAAGGACCCAGGCGTCCCCAAGCTTCCAGCCTCGGCAGGGTCGGCTTTGTGAACCACTGCCGTTGCCTCCCTCATGCTCCACCTCCACCCCCCTCCCCCCAGAGCTTGGGGACAGGTGTCCCTGGTCCCCCTCCCCCCCGCCTCCTGGCTTTAGCTGCCTGGTCGCAATGGGACCCTGGCACAGTTCCCGCCTGACCTGGCTCCTGGATGGGTTTTCAGCCTCTCTTAGACCCCAATCTACAGTAGAAGTTCCAGGGCACGAAGGTGGGATGGGGAAGGGAGGGCAAAATCCTGGACTATACTCTCCATGCATGGTATTCTTCAGTCTGGCCTGAGCCCCAGCAAAAGGGCAGGGTCTCTACCTATGACTGAGTTTCAGCGGTGTCTGTGGGAGAGGATAAGAAGCACTTGAAGACACTCCTATACTGAAAGGGTTCCTCCTCCCTTCATTCACCTCCGTGCCTACCACCTGCCTGCCAGCCTGAATGCCCGCCAGCCAAAGAAGGGAAAATGGGGGGGGGTGACTTCGAGTCTGCCAGAGCAAGAAAGGACTTCACCCACCACTCCCTTTTCAAAGATTGGGAAGCTAAGGCCCAAAGACTCGAGGGGGCTTGCCCAGGTTCCACAGCAAGTTTCTGACTGGAATTAATGGTTGAGCTGGTATTAGAACCCTGGTCTCCTGACTCTGCCAGGTGCCTTTCCTACTCTTCCCCAACCCCTGATTGCCTCTTGAATCAGAGACAAGGCGAGAGTCGGCTTCTTAGCTTGGGCTCTTGGATAGAGACTGGTGGAAGGGGCAAGTCCAGTGGCTTCAACTCACTGGGTCACGGTCACAGTCACCACCCCACGCCTTGATTCCTCAATCCCCTGAGCTGTGCTGTCCCAGAGCAGAAGCCACTGGCATCCTCTAAGGAGGGCTCTGAGCCTGACGGCTGCCCTGCCTGTTTCCCCAGGGCCCCCTAGATGTGACGCTGACTCAGCCTATGCGGAGTGGGCCAGTTTCAGACAGGTGAGCCCAGCCCCTCCAGTCCCATGGTCTGGAGACCCCAGCCAGTCCCTGGGACCCCCATCCTCTCCTTCTTCCCTCACTCGGTTGTGCAATAAGGGAGAGGCCTTATGCCGGACGCTGTGGTTTGGCCAGGGTCCCGGGGGGCGGTCCGGCTGGGGGCGCGGGGAGGAAGGGGGGGTCCAGGCTATTTCTGGTTCGAGGTCAGAACGGCCCAGCGGTTCCCACAGCCTGGGGGAGGGGTGCCCAGCCCGGGAGTAGGCACCCCTTGCAGCCTGCCTGGGGAACCCTTAGAGAAGAGCCTCCTGGAGGCGGGGTGCAGGACCGACAGGCTTGCCCAACCCTCGCTCCCCTCTTGCCCAGGCTGCAAAGCTGGGAGGAGACGCGGAGCCTCATCCCGGAGAAGGGGCCGTCTGAAGACGACCCAGATGTCGTCGTGAAAGGTGGGGATCCACCTCATACGCTCTAGAGGCCCCATCCCACCCTCCAGGGGATGCTGTCTTATCCTGCTGACCCCCCTTCCTGCCTTCTCCCCGAAGGTTGGCTGTACCGCGAGCCCCGCGGAGGAGGGGCGCGGCCCTGGTTGCCCCCGCGCCGAGCCTGGTTCGTGCTCACCCGGGACTCCCTGGACCAGTTCAGCAGCAGCGGGAAGGGGGCGAGGCGGCTCGGGAGCCTCGTGCTCACCAGCCTGTGCTCGGTGTCCGGCCCTGAGCGCAGGCCCAAGGAGACTGGTGAGATCTCCTGGGGATTCTCCTACCTCCCCAGGCAGCTGCCCCAGCCAGCCCTGATTGCCTGCCCCCCGCGGTCTCTCTTTCCCCCAGGTCTGTGGTCAGTGACCGTGTCTGGCCGGAAGCACAGCGTTCGGCTCTGCTCGCCTCGCCAATCGGAGGCAGAGCGCTGGGGGGTGGCGCTGCGGGAGGTGATCGCCTCCAAGGCGCCTCTGGAGACCCCCACCCAGCTGCTGCTGAGGGACATTCAGGTGCGAGGGAGAGAACTCCATGGAGAAAGAGGAGGGTGGTGGACCCATAAGCTTTCCAGCTTCACGGGGGAGCTCCCTTCTCCATCACTGAGATCATTTCCCTGGCCTCTAGGAGAGTCGTGGGGACCCAGAAGCCGTGGCCCTTATTTACAGAAGAAACCCAATTCTGAGGCACACCAGTGGAGCCCTGTATGCCCCACTCCTGCCTCTGCCGTACGGAGTCAGTACCCCAGGTGAGTGGTGCCATGGCCCAAGTCCCTGTGATGGGGTCTCACTTGATAGGAACCTAGGAGTCTTCAGAGGACTAGCCCCTAGCCCCTCATTTTTCAAAGGATGAAGATGAAACAAGAAGCAGAGCAGACTGATACCCAGGGTAGAGGGGGAGGGAAGCCAGCACAGAAAGTAAAGACCCCCCCCTTGACTGACTACCTTCTCTTTGGGTCTCATTCTGACTACCGATGTCCCTTCACTCACGAGCTTTTACACTCTCTCTCTTGTTCTTTCATTATGCTCTCAACACCATGACAGACTTCCTTTACAAGTGGTGGAAAAGCCACCACCTCAGGAGAATGTGCTGGCCTCATTTAGCTACACTTCTCCCCAAAAGGGTATAAACACAGGCCCAGGTTCTCAAGCTAGAGGAATAAGGGGAGCTGGGAGAAGAACCTTGGTGTTCTGACTCTCAGTCCAGCCTGTTTTCTGGACCACAGTGATGACTCTTAGTACCTAATTACAGAATCCACGGTTTGACTCTGTGTCCTTTAGTCTATCCCTCCAAGTTACTAGGGCTTCCCCGGTGGCTCAGATGGTAAAGAATCCACCTGCAATGTGGGAGACTTGGGTTTGATCCCTGGGTCTCGAAGATCCCCTGGAGAAGGGAACGGCTACCCACTCCAGTATTCTTGCCTGGAGAATTCTATGGACAGAGGAGCCTGGCAGGCTATGGTCCATGGGGAAGCAAAGAGTTACTACATGGAGAAGCAAAGTTACACGACTGAGCGACTAACACTTTTTCACAAGTTACTAACTTGAAGCCTAGCCTTAGTGGGTCTAGAGGGGGAGATTCCTGGGAGGCAGAGGTTGAATTTGGCTCCGTGGGGACCATTGCTTTCCCTTCACTCTTCCTGTCCTTCGCACTCTCCCCCTCCTTGCCACCCCTGTCCCCTTGTACTCCCTCTGACCTTCCGGCGGTTCACACCTTCCTCCCAGGGCCCATCTTTGTTTCCCCTCTCCAAACCGTCCCTCCGCCCCCACCCTCCCTCAGGTCCCGGCTACGCGCCCTTGCGCGAGGAGGCCGTGAGGCTGTTCCTGGCGCTGCAGGCCCTGGAGGGGGCGCGGCGCCCCGGGCCCCTGATGCAGGGTGTGCTCCAGACCTGCCGGGACTTGCCCGCGCTCCGAGACGAACTCTTCCTGCAGCTGGCTAAGCAGACCTCGGGCCCCGCGGGGCCCCCTGGGCCGCCAGCTACCCAAGACCCCGCGACCCTGCGGTACTGGCAGCTCCTCACTTGCATGAGTTGCACTTTCCGGCCGGGGGGAGCCGTACGGGGACACCTCCTCGGGCATCTGGAGAGGTGAGAGGGGAGGCGTGGGGGTAAAGCCAAGGCGAGGGAGCGGAGGGAGCTGGGAAAGAATGGCAGGCCATTCCAAAGGGTTTGGCAGATGGAGAACTTGGACCCAGAGAAAGGAAGGGACTTGCCCAAGGTCAGGGCCGCTGCTCCAGAGTGCAGTGCCTTTGTGGGAATCACAAGTTCATACCCCACTTGCGGGCGGAGGAATTATAAAAAAAGGCTCCCACTTTGGGCAGAAGAATTATTAAAAGGCTGTTTTTCCTCGGGGCTGATGCAGTCCAGTGCCAGGACTTTAAGGTTGGAAGGCAGAATGCAGCTGGAGTTTGGATTTCAACCCAAATGAGGAACATGGAAATTTTGGGAAGTGGGAGGGGGCAGATAGGCTGCCAAGGGCCTTAGAAAGTAATTCACCTCCTTACAGAGCATGGGGGTGGGGTGGTGTTTAGATTCAGAACAGCTGGTGGTGCTGCCTTCAAGGAACTTAGAGTTGGAGGGGAGGGAATCGGGCGAGGTGAAATAAACTCTGAGCTAAAAAGGCAATAGGGAGGAAGAGAAGAAAAGTCCTGGGAGCACTAACCCTCCAGTTCTCCCTAATCCAGGACTGAACAGGCGCTCCCGGACTCGGAAGTGGCGGAATATGCGCGCTTCATACGGAGAGCGCTGGGCCGGACGCGCGGCCGGGAGCTAGTGCCATCGCTGGCCGAGATTTCCGCGCTGAGCCGACGGCAGGAGTTGTTGTGCACCGTGCACTGTCCAGGGGCTGGTGCCTGCCCTGTGGCCATAGACTCCCACACCACGGCGGGAGAGGTAAGACCAGAGAGAACCCCGGAAACCGAAGCCTCCCAGCGTCCAGTGCCTGGTGTGCCTGGACCCCAGGTTTGCCTGAGTCTGAGAGTCATCAGTTGGGTAAAGGCTGCGTGTGGCGGGACTAAGAAACCTGAAAGATCCCTCCAGTTGAACCCTTCCAGAAGTACTGGCAGGCCCCCTGCGCGGTCTGAGCCTGACTTTCCTCTTATGCTCCCTGCCTTCCAGGTGGCTCGAGAGCTGGTGGGGCGGCTGGGCTTGACCCGGAGCCGTAATACATTCGCACTGTACGAGCAGCGAGGGGCGCAGGAGCGAGCCCTGGCCGGGGGGACTCTCGTGGCCGACGTGCTCACCAGGTTTGAGAAGTAAATGTCCAGCCCCAGCCCTGCTCTCCGTTAGCCCATTGGCCTCTCCGCCCCGATCCATCCCTAAGTAAACGTTTACCGAGCGCTGGCCTCCGCACGGTGAAGTTCACAGGCAGATTCCTGCCCGCCGGCGGTTTGCAGTCGGGCTTCGAGGCTCGCCTCCGCGGTCCACTCCCCCCGGGCAGGCCCCGCCCCCAAACATCTGGCCTCGCCTCTTTCCCCTGGGCGGCGCCTTCGGGACCCTGCTACCCGGCCGTATCGCTCCCTTCTTTTTTCTGCAGCTTGGCGACGGAGGAAGCCGGGCTGGAGGACCCACCGGACACCGGTTGGAGACTGTGTCTGCGTCTTCACGGACCTCTGCACCCTGAGGGGCTATCCCCAGACGGTCACGAACTGCCCTTCCTCTTTGAGCAAGTGAGGCTCTCCCGCACTCATGCCCGGGGGAGATCCCCCTAGCCTGAACCCCTTCCTTTCTGGGCCTTCGCTTTTCGTCGTTATGACAACCCCGGGGGAGGCGGTGCTCCAACCCAGATCTACAGTTCCGCTCCCCAAGGTGTCTTCGCGACGGTATCCGCGACTCCTGTACTGATGCCCGCTGCCTCCCCGTAGGCTCACGCTCTGCTGCTGCGCGGCCGGCCGCCCCCGCCCGACGACACGCTGCGCGCCTTGGCGGCGCTGCGGCTGCAGAGCCTGCACCGGGACTTCTCCCCGCGGGCGCCTCTGCCGCGCCTGGATCGCTTGCTCCCCACCCCGGCCCGGCCGCGTGAAGACCCTCCCCGCCCGCTGCCCAGGCCTCCCCACTCCGCCGCCCTGCTGGCCGGGGCGATCTGGAGCCCGAGCCTGGCCAAGAGGCGGGCGGAGCGGGCCCGGCACGGCGGGGCTGGCCGCACCGCGGGAAGCGTGGCCCGCGAGGGAGGAGGTGGCGCCGGCAGGGCGGCTGCTGTGCTGGGAGGCTGGAAGCGGCTACGGGGCATGGGCCGAGCTGAGGCCATGGCTGCCTACCTGGCTCTGGCGGCGCAGTGTCCAGGGTTCGGCGCTGCTCGGTATGACGTTCTGGAGCTGAGCACGGTGAGGGGGAGAAGGGAGAGGGGGACTCTGGTGGCCCAAGCCCCACACCTTTGCCCCAGAGCCACAGGCCCCCGTTGTGGGTCACTGTGCTCCCTACACCCAGCACAGCTGCCCATCTCAAAGCCCAGGAGTCCCTGTCCCTGACGCCCTCACTCTCTCGAGCTGTGGATCATGTGGGGGGGGGGGGGGGCGGGGACCAGGAAACGTCTTGCTCACAGCCATCTCCCTCCACCAAAAATAATGCAGCAGGGTCCCCTCTTTCCACCCTGACTCTGCCTGTCTGTCCACATCCGCAGGAGCCTGGTGGGGGCGCTCCACAGAAGCTATGCCTGGGCCTGGGAGCCAAGGCCATGTCCCTCTCGCGGCCGGGTGAGACAGAGCCCATCCACAGCGTCAGCTATGGCCGCGTGGCCGCCTGCCAGCTAATGGGCCCCCACACCCTGGCCTTGAGGGTGGGAGAGAGCCAGCTCCTCCTGCAGAGTCCCCAGGTGAGTGGGAAGAGGGTGTCAAAGGAGGAAGGGAGGGAGAGGGTGTTAAGAAACATTTATGAAACATTGAGCCTGGGCCAGGTACAGCTCTAGACCTTAGGGATCATGCAGTGATCAAAGACAAGCTTAAGGAGCTTGAGTTAGTACCGGCCATCAGACACTAAACAAGGAATCAAAGACTGTTAAAGATAGTGACAAATGCTATGAAGAAAAGGGTAGTGAGAGACAAGTGACTGGAGGGGATCAAAACATTAGGTAGGATGGTCAGGAAAAGCTACTCAACACCACCCAAAGGGAGATCCTGGGACACAGCTTTCCAGGCAGAAGGACCTGCCAGTGCAAAGGTTCTGAGATGAGACTCGCCTTAGGAAAATAGAGGAGCAGAAGTGTGATAGGCACAGAGTGAAGGAGAGTGGTGATGAGGAAGGAAAAGTTGAGGAGGGCAGCTCACAAGGCCTTGGGAAGGAACCTGGGTGGAGGATGAGACAAAGGAGAACTCATTGGCCCCTTTTGTACTCTGACCTCTGCCCTCTCTTAGGTGGAAGAGATCGTGCAGCTGGTGAATGCCTACTTGGCCAACCCCTCCCCCGAGAGGCCCAGCAGCAGCCCTCCTCCATGCCAAGACCTGCCAGACACCTCCCCTCCCAGCCAGCACCCGGGCCTGGACGAGCCCCAGGGACAGTCTGGCTGTTTGGGGCAGCTGCAGGACTGAGCTTGCCAAGAGGTCACGACCTCCCTCTTGCCTCCAGCCTGGATCTGGACTACTGAGATTTCAGGAAACCATGGACCCTTTTGGCCCTGCAGGGACAGGGCATACCCCACATGCAAGGGCTGCAATGGGTGCAGACAATTTTCTAGTTTGTTTCTTAATTTATTTGTAGAAGAGAAGCAAAAAAAAAAAAATCCTTATTTACACAAACCCTTCCTGTGGGAGTGTTGTCAGTGGGACAAGTTGGAGCCCCAGAGCTCAGAGCTCCACCCCCAGGGACGCCCACACTCCCAGGCTTTTACCAGCACTGAGAGGAGTCTGAACACCGCAGGGCTCCACCCTCCTTGACCTTCTAGATTTAACCTCCTCCTGGCCAGTATGCTGCCCTAGGGTGGTGGGTGGGGCAGACAAGAGGGCAGTTTTGGAAGCTGGCAATTACTCATCCTTCTTCCATTGAGTGGCATGGGGGTGGCCTCTCGGCATCCCTGAGGCCCGAGGGCAGTGAGTCACCAGGACTGGCACTACCCAGTCCTACCCTGGTGTCCAGCTTCTGGGTCTTAGTTGGGACCATCTTTAATGTGCCTACTGCTTTGGGTCTGGAACAGAAGAAGCCTGGAGCAGGATCAGACCCAAGAACTTCTCTGGCAGACAATGAATTGATCAGGATGGGCTCAACTTTACTCCTGAGCTGTTACTGCTTTATCAGATCAAGCTGAATTGGGTTAACTCCTGAGGATCTAAATGCCTTGGGCCTGGGAATCCAGAGTCTTGGCTTTCTTGACTTGCTCTGAATGCTGCAGGCCTTCTTTTAGCAGCCTCCGCAGCCTCTGCCCTGAGTGGAGGAGGCTGGGGCAATATGAGCAATGTGTCTCCACCCTCGGGCAGAACCTTAGGCACAGAGGAGACAGCAGACAGCAGTAATGCTCTGTAGTCTTGAGAGTAGGACTGGCTCCAATAAAACAGCCTGGTTCTAGGCAGGGATGCTCATGGAAACAATGGACACAGATCGGGACCACCTGGAAAGACTAGAGCAGGTAAAGCCTACCCTACCAACACATGCCTGGGAACTGTGAGGCACCATGGAGATCCTTTCATTGTCCCCCATATTCACCTACCAAGGCCTGACAGTTACTCACAGACCAAGGCCTGACTATATTCACAACTAAGCTTTATTACTTTATTAGAGCTAAATAAGCATATCAAGGGTGATGGCATCAAAAGGAAGAAGCAAGGCCCACTCTTGGGTTGGTGAAGAATCTAGAACCTTGTTGGTGAGGGGAATTTGGACCAGAGGAACCAAGTATGATGGGTCTGTGCTTACTGTCCAGAGGGTGCAGTAGGGAGGACTCACTGCTCCTGGGTGCCCCAGGAGATGTAGTCTGGTCGAGTGGCTGCATGGTACTCATCAATCAGCTCCTGCACAACCTCCCTGGACCTGTCCAGCTCATCAAAGTTCTCCTTAAAGATGTCCTCCTTCCGGAACTGTTCCAGGAAGGCCTCCCGCTTCCGCAGCTTGTCATACTGCTGGCAGGAACTTTCAAAGAGCTGAAAGAGATAAAAGTCTCCAGGATGGGAGCCAGGGTGAGACAGGGGGTTGGACTGGATCTGGGGGAGAATGATGAAGGTGGAAAAGAGGGGCCAAAGCAGACCAGGCAGCCAGGCTCACCGAGGAGATGCTGGTGTGGTTGGCCATCATGAGCCCACTGACCCTGTGCGCAGAAGGCAGGTAGGGTGACTTCCTAGACAGGGCCACCTGGATGCTGGCGGGGCCCCAGGGGATGAAGTTGGCCAACTTCCGTTCCCGGATCCTCTGCAAGCTCTTGTGGACCTGGGGTGGGCACAGGAATGGTGGTGGTAGCCTCTCCTCTTCCCCTGTGGGCTCCGGAGATAGAATGAAGGGGCCTCACCTACCTGGGTGGGGTCCACCTCCCCCTGGATGATGTTGAGGATGGCGATGTAGCAGTGGTTGGTCTGGCGATCCCGACCTGTGGACACCATCACGTTCTTGGGCTGCAGCAGTCGCCTCATGACATCCAGGACTGTGGTCTTTCTCACACTGGCCACCTGAGGGGAGAGGGGCCACAGGGCAGCCCGGTACTCAGGGCACAGTCAAGAGACGCATGGACAGAGAGCACGAGGTGATGCACAGCCCCGCATGGACAGAGAGCACGAGGTGATGCACAGCCCCATCAGACGCAGGGCAGCCTGGTCTCTCTGGGGAGTGTCCTTAGATTCAGGTCCTCACTGAGGGATCAGAGATCTCAGTCCCCCAGAGCTCAGCTAACTCATGTCCTTGTGCAGGAGCATCAGCAGACCCCGTACAGCCCCGGCCCTGCAGGGCGCCACAGGCAGGGGGAGAGGAGAGCCAGTCAGCCAGGAAGCAGGGCCTCCGGGTGCAGCCGAGAGAAGGGAAAGGCTGGTCAGGGCCTGCTGGGCCCGAGGGCTGCTCTTACCGACTGGTCCGTGGTGAGGGGGGTGTAACCCGTCATGAGGAAGTGGAGCCGTGGCGTGGGAATGAGCGAGGCGATGAGGCCGATGAGGTCGTTGTTCATGTAGCCGGGGTAGCGCAGGGTGGTGGTGCTGGCTGACATGATGGTGGACACCTGGGGACAGGGTGCCGGGTCACGGGCCTTGTCCTGGGGGCCTCCCTTCCCTAGATGGTGCTTCGGGAAGGAGGGAGTCCAGGAGTGGGGGGCTCACCAGCTGGTTGATCTGGGAGAACGAGGGATTCTGAATGTGCAGGCGGTCTGTGGCGATCCGGTTCAGGGCCGTGTTGTCCAGCACCACCTGGGGGGACAGAAGAGGGTGACAGCACCTTTTTGAGGAGAAAGAGGGCAGAGAAATAGGTTATTAGCTTAGTCCCCCTCTACACTCCAAAACTAGGAAGCAAGTATGTTCATTTAAAGGGCAAGTACTGTCTCTGGGGCATCAGGAGACACTTTTCTACCATCCAGTGCATTAGAGAAATATTTGACTGTCCAACATGTGCCATGCATGGTACCTGGCTCTGGAGAAACCATAGAGAGTAAAACAGGCATGGTCTTCCCCCTCACCAGGTCTATAATCTAGAGCAGAGGTCCCCAACTTAACCAGTTTTGTGGAAGACGATTTTTCCATGGACTGGGGTAGGAGTGGGGTTTCAGGATGATTCAAGTGCATTACATTTATTGTGCAGTTTATTTCTATTATTATTACATCAGCTTCACCTCAGATCATCAGGCATTAGATCCCAGAGGTTGGGGACCCCTGGTCTAGAGAAGGGAGAGTGGCATTGAATATAAAACAACAGAAAAGTATAGCTGCGCCTGAAATAAGCACGAAGGAATTTGACCTTGTCTGGGTGGTCAGGGAAGGTTTTGCTAAGAAAGTAACCATTAGGCTGAGAATGGAAACATGAGTAGGTATTAAATAGGCTAAGTGGAGACATGTGGGATGGGGGTGTTACTCTGTTGAGAGTCCTGCTACCTAAAGGAACTATGAGAAGCTTGGGGTCAGGTTCTTATTTCATACTTTGGGCCACCAGGTATGGCTTTGTTGGTTGTCTGTTCTCTGGGCAACGGCTTGGGAAGGGCAGAGTGTAGGTGTCTCACTGGTTTGGGGAGGTAGGCCAAAGGCCCCACTTCCTCCTCCCATGCTCACCACACAGTCGGCATTCTGGGTCAGCCTCTTGAGTGTGAGCAGTGAGTTGTAGGGCTGGACTACCACATCGCTCATCTCGTCCTGGTTGGGAAACACTGAGTATGTCTGTACCAGCTTCTTGGGATACCTGGGGATGAGGAAGAGGGAAACGGGAAGGTAGCCCAGTGAATTGCAAGGACTCTCATCACCGCCCCTCTTTGTCTTCTCCAGGGATAACGGGCCATTCCTTTCCAAGTGCCACCAAGGTCTTAAACAAAAGGAGTGAGGGCAGAACTGAGTCTTTAGAGCCCAGAAGCCAAAAAGATAAACCTGAAGCATCAAACCTCCCTCCCTCCTGGGTCCTCTCCCCCACCCATGCAGACCCCGTTTCCTGGGAGTTATTGCTTCCAAGATGTTCCCTGGGAGGCCAGGCTCTGTTCCTACTTATAACTCAAGGGCGGTAGGAATAGGGCTTTCAGTCCAAAGGAAAAAAGTGACAAAAGAAAAGCATTACCCAGGGAAACAGAGCTAATGCCCTCTTCCCAAACACAGACTTACCTGTCATTCAATCGCTCCAAGAGGTAGGAGCCCAGGCCAGAACCGGTCCCCCCAGCGATGGAATGACACAGCACAAAGCCCTGCAGGGGGAGGAATGGAGAGGCAGTCTCCAGGGATCTGGGGGAGAGGCTTTAGGCTTGTCTCATGGCCCACTCCCAAACCACTCAAGTCTCAGGGCTTCCTGTATATCCATCCAGTGTGAGGCTCCTTGAGAAGGAAGGAGCTGATGCCATCCAGATTAGGATCTTCTTGAGGACACAGACTGTACCTTATTTACTTCACCATCTCACATCTGATACTTAATGAAAGAGTTATGAATTGAATTGCCCCATCACACATCTGATCAGGCTCTTTGTGACCCCATGGACGGTAGCCCATCAGGATCCTCTGTCCATGGAATTTTCCAGGCAACAATACTGGAGTGGGTTGCCATTCCTTTCTCCAGGGATCTTCACGACCCAGGGATTTGAACCCAGGTCTCCTGCATTGCAGGCTGATTCCTTATCCTGAGCCACCAGGGAGGCTACCTCCTGACCTTCCCCATCACTTCTCAGCTTCTCCCTCCTCTCCTCTAGAGGGGCAGAACCTCACCTCTAGGCTGTCACTTCCATCTGCTTCTCGGTCTATGATGTCAAAGATGTCTTCATGGATTTTCTCACCCTGTATAGAGACATGAGGAAGGCAGAGACATCTATAGAGACGTGAGGATGATGTTCCTGGAGAGCATTTCTTTTCAGCACCAGTAACTCTACCTTGGGACACTGCTGATGCTTCAAGCAGAGCCCCAACTGTGGCCCTCACCCCAGAAATGCTACTTTGCATAAACT